TCCCAATTCATTTGGGATCTGTAGAAAAAATAATCAAATAGACACAGACAGCTGTTTAGAATTGTGTTCAAGTAAGTGAAAGGTTTGCTGAAGCCAGAGTACTGACAACAGGAGAAACAATGCAGGCTTCATCAGCACCGAAGGAGTATGCAGTTGTGAGCTGAAAATTCAGACTTCAGCATTCATTAAACCAGCCTGAGCTTGCTAATTTTAGACACAGCTGCTGCTGTAATACAAGTTATATTTAAAGAATGAGCCAGGAGCCCCATTTGTTTAGAACTAGGAACAAATAACTAGGACCAGCACCACCAACTTTGACAGTAGAATACTGAAATTGAAACAATGCAGTAGAGGAATCAGACCTCTGTCTCTGTAGGTAACTTGGATTTACAAACCCATGGTCTGAAATAAGGAACAGTACTCTGCCTCTGAAAGAAAGCTCTATTAGGGTATGGTCTCTGCTTACCACAGGTTTGTTGTGTACTCTAGATGAAATAATAAATGTAAAATGTATAAAAGTGCAGATATGAAATTACTGAACTCCAGTGAACCAGAGACAATTGCTTCAATTATCACTGAACAAAAAAACCCCCAACCCTATATAAAGAAGGCAGTTAAAGAGATAAATATAATCTATTTCCTCCTGCCAGAAATCTACTCCCAAAACATACATTCAGAACTGTCTTTTATATCTTACCTATTATTAAGAGACAGACTTGGAAAATTTCTGGGATTTATGAACTGATTTAATAATCTTATGATTGTAAGTGTAGCCCCACAAAATTAAGAAGACTTTTACCTATTATGATCTTTTCTTTCTTCACATATCCACTAGAATACCAGAAAACCCTCTTTATTGCATTAATTGTGAGGAATGTTATGGTCTTTACCTCAGTGCTGGAAATAAAATATATTGAGATGTATTTCAGCTGAAAGATAAGAAATGCCATAATAGTTACAGATTTAATTATACATTATCCATATAGTTCACATTTGTAAGCACTGAATAAACTCATGAATGTTACCTTGAAAATGAAATTCTTTTGGATCACAGTATAAAAGCACTATTTGCCCTCAGACTTTTGGCCCTAGGCAGTTGACAACAGAAAATACTGGCCAAAAAGCTGCTATCTTTTTATTTCTATTCTCTCAGCATTATTCAAACTGTAAGAAAGAGAATGAAATTTGAATCTGGTGTCTGTATTCTAGTAAAAATGCTACATTTCATTTCCAAAAGTATTACAGATTTCAGATCAGGAAAGAGACAGCTTGAATTTCAAATTGAAGCTTCAGTTTGTAGAGCCAGCAGTTAAAAAAACAGCCTCAGCTTGTACTCAACAGAACACAAACACTTTACTCATCTAGCAAACATTCAGTTATAACACACATTTTTTGTGTCCTATTAGCCTACCACCATATGTTACTCAACAGTACAAAAGTGAGATTAGTTACACTTCTGTATAATCTGAATTTATCTATTTATAGATTTATGGGTGCTGATGGCTTGTTTTATAACTCTGGTGAATTTTTTGCAGAGCAGTGACTTGAGTGTAGCTCCAACAGGAGTCCAGCATAGAGAGATCTCTGATATAATTAGACATCTGTCAGTGGCTTCTCACCCACAACGTCAGTAAAGGCAGAATGGAGACAGAGGTCAGTGAGAATTCCAGAAACAGAGGTAATACAGGCTCCAAAAGCTGACTCAGTCATTTGTGAGGACAGAGGAATAAGTTAATAGCTAAATAGAAACAACAGAAGGATCCTTTTACTTACACAAATGATATCAACTAAACTGAAACTGATGCCAAATAAAAGTGCAGTTAATCTGTGCAAAGCAAAATGAGATACAGTTACACTGTCTGAAAACCAGATAAAGATCTTTAGTTTCTATGCACAAATTTACAGAACCTATTGTATTCTAAATTAAGGGAATCTGCACAGAATAAACCTTGAGATACACATGCTGCAAGTGCATCCCAACAAGACAGCAGCATTTCTTATCAGGCAGTCACCTCTCTGCTTTGTGCTATGTAGCAGTGTAGCAGCCTCCCATAGTGTCAGTGTGAGGGCTCAACTGGCCTCAGACTGATGCCTTAGGAAAAAGAGGTTCTGTGTAATTTCCCCCATTCTTTGAGCTTTTCAAGCTCCCTAGTTTTCAACTGATTACAATACCACAGACTGAGCATTAGCTATACTGTGAACCACAATCGCTATTCGTCAGAGAACACTTGGATTTAAGAAAATGGGAGGAAGCAGATTCTGGTACTTGAGGACAATTACGTGTATTGGAGTAGCTGTGCAGCAAAAGCTGCACTAGACTGTACTCACTAGAATGGGTGAACTGCTCTGTTTGCTTCTTTTATTATTTGATTTGTCTTGCTTGGGCTATTTTTTTGGTTTATTTTTGTTTGTTTGTTTGGTTGGTTTGTTTGTTTTTGTTGTTGTTATTATCTTCATTGCGCTGTCCCCCTAAGTGCATCTCAAGCTGATTCTGTCTCCTGGGAAACATAAATTCATGCTGCAAAAATTAAGAGAGTCTCTCGAAGAGTCCCTTTCTGACCTCCAGCCAGAAATCAAGTTGTCTGCAGTATTATCTGTCCTTTTGAGGGTGTTGCGTGTCACACTGATCACTGACAAGCCCTATTATTGGCATCTTCTCCTGCAGTTTTTATGTGGGAAATGTCTTGTATCACCTAAAGGCAAATAGTCACCATGAGCAGCCCCAGTGTGCTTTGTCAACAGGCAGCAGGTGAGGTATCTAACGCTGGATGGCGTGAAATCTGCTGTCAGAATTAAACACAGCATACAGAGCACTAGAAAGCCAGTCATAGGCATTAGCAACCAGGTGTGCATCACTTGTATCCTGAATTTAAGGCAGAAGTAAAACATAAACTATTGGCGAGATTGCCTGCAAATGCCCTTCCTTAGAAAGAATTTTAGCTTCACTGTATTAGCAATTAAGAACTGATGTTTCTTTTCTTCCTCAGGTTGCTGGGCAGTCCAGCCCAATATTTTTATACAAATGGCAGTGTCTCCCAGTCACCTTTCAGAGATACAAAGCATGCAAGTAGAGGAGAGAAATAGTAGGCCTGCAAAGTGGTCAGTTTGACTCTCAGGAATGTGGGATACTGTCACATCACACTGCAAAAAAATGGCAAGTCATTTCCTTGTCATCCTTTACATATGGAAAAGAAGTTATCAATATTTGTCCTTCACTGAAAAGCCTTCATCTGTACTTTAGTTCACCTTTCACAGAGTACCTGAGCTGGCAGCAAATTGGAGTGACAGAAAAGTCACAGGAAAAGTCACCCAGCAAGGCTGGGGGGATGTTCATGGTGCTGCAGGGCCTCACACTTACTGTGGGTGAGGAAGGGTCAAGGAATGTGTGAATGAATGGATGGGTTTATCAGAAGGCAGCTTTCTTTCCAAGATGGAGTCGCATCTTCTCAGAATTGTACAGAGCAGCACCAGATTCAGGGCAAATCCCTGGTCTGAAGAAGGAAAGCATGTGAGTACATGGAGGAGCCCCTGCTCCCCACTGCAGTGCTAAGCACTTCTATTGCCCACATTTCCACCTGCTGGACCAGCATTTCAGGTGGTAAAGAGATTGATTCAGCACTGCTGAAAACACAGTGTGGAAAATGCATCTGCATCTGATGGTCACTTGTATTCTTCCCATCCCACTGCGCTCTCCTCAACTGAAATGGAAAGTGTGGTCAATTGTTTTGTGCAGGAAATTAGTATCTTTTGTCTCTAAATCACATAAATCCTCCTCCCACTTTTCTGGCTGGCAAAAGTATACACATTTTCCTAGGAAAATATTTGCACTTGAGGGGGATTATTACCAGTCAAATGAGCATCTACACTCTTGCTTGGGAGGGGCTTGTGTGGGGCATGACGTTGTGGCAGAACGCAGGTCTAGGCCCATTGTCAACACATCTGTTAACATCTAACTTGAAATACTTTTGTGTTTCTCCTTAGCCCCCCTTGATCTTCCCCTATTTCTCTTGTTTCTGTAAGTTGCCCCCTTAGTTACTTGTTAACAAGTAAGGCAAAAAGGAGTTGAAGAAATTACAGACTTAATTTATGAGGGCTTAATTATCTTAATCATCAGAATATAATAGAAAAGAGAAAGTGGTTACAACTAAGAGGCCACTTTTAGTGAAAGGCTCTCTCCCAGACACATCCTCCTTTTAAATAAAAAAAAAAAGAGCCATGGTCTGGGGTTTCCTGGCAGTGCATGGAAACACTGTACACTTTATGATACTCCTTTGATTCTTATCACTTACGAAATCCGAGTGGAGTAGAAATTTGTCTGCCTTTGAGCTATTTGTTGCAGACCCCAGTGCAAGAAATGCTGCAAAAGAACAAAACAGTAAAGGCCCAAGTGTCAGTCTGAGTGATCCACCTGCTTTTTCTGGACCGCCACCAACCAGCAGAGACTTCATGGAAGCCCAGAAAATTATCCTTTATTTTTAAGCAAGACTGATATGGTATCAGTAATATTTCAGCAAGTTCCTGAATTATGCCCATGACAACTTCACTGTTGTGAGTAAATTGAAATGTTGTTATCTGCTCTGCTGACTGATAGTTTTGGAAAAGGAGAAAATTCAGTCAGAATGAGAAATCTCACTTAGACTTGCAGTAAAAGCTGGGCAGGAGATTTAAAATGGAAAAAGCTGTCCTGCTATCTATGTCAGAAAAAAATATCTTTAAATTTCAAGACTTCTTTAATATACATGAGCAGCAAGAAAGAATTCCAAAATCACATCAATTTCTCTAGAAAACAGCTAAGGGTGTCAAATAAAGTGACACAGCGTATGAGTATTCAGTTCATAGGTACTTTTCTCAAGGTAGACAGCCCAGGGAACATGATACATGGTTGGACAGATTTTTATAATCGCCTCCACCCTCTTGTCAATATATTTACCTGCTTCACCGTAGGTCTTCCCCATTTTCTCCTTGCTGAGTGCAGCTGGTGAATTACTATGCGAACTGCACTACACAGAAGATTTAACTTGGTCTTCTAGCATGGGAAACCCCTGGCACTTACAATACACTTTAATTTTGCTCTGTATTTCAGTGCTGAATACCACAGGGTAAGTAGCACACTACTGAATGTAGCTTAATTCAGGAAGCTTAGCTGTTAATGATACATATCCGTTCTTCACTCTTAAGATGTGAAATGTTTCTTCCCTTTTAAAATGTGGAATGCTGTACAATTGAACCATGTCATTTTTTAAAAGAAATCATTTAAATTTGGGGTTACCTAATTCTGCTCTGGCATCTGTCTGAGAGAGAAACCTGTAACATAGATTTCTAATGGCTCATCTAAAAAGAAGAGATCTGGACAAATAGCCACAATACTTATAAAACTCTCTGAATACACCTACAGTAACCTTTGATTTATGATTTTCCTGATGTATAACTGTTAAAAGATAGCACTGAATAGAGACTGAGTGGCAACTTGACATGGCTTTCCCTTTCTCATGGAAGAAGAAATCCAAGAACAAGGAAGAAAACTTTCTTACTTTATCTGTCTTTACATATTCTTTTTCCTCCTTAGCCTGAGCTCAGTCTGTTTCCCAGGTGCTTGCTGCATTTCATTGCATTATTTCACAATAAATTAATTGTGTTATTTGCTCCTAATCTCCCGAGTTTTCTGAATGTCATTGCTTGGATTTTGAGCATTGCAGACATTCCTGGTGCTGCATTCACTTAAGGACAGATTCTCTATACTATGTCAAGTACAATAAGGATAATTAAAGAAGGGAGCACCACAGAGTTTGGAACAGAACCCTGTCTCCAGAAACTGGGGATCATCCCTTCCCAATGCAAAAAAAACCCAAAGAGCAGAGCCTTTTACATTGTGATCTGCGGTAGGATTTTGGTCTTGTTCAACTCAGCTCTGTGGGAATTTATAGTACACAAGGACTGTGCATTTGTAACTGCTTTTGTTTTGCAGCATTTTCAGGGTAAATTAGAAGAGCTGAATGAAATGAAACATTTGTGATATGAGAGATTTGCAGGGGTTAAAGGAAATATGTAGCCTTCAAACAAGTAACCAAGTTAAACAGTACAATGGCTTACTGGCATTGACACACTTTGCTTAGCAACAGTGGGGTTAATAACGGCATGAGCAAGTTCCTAGAAAGTCTTTGCTATTACCTGGTGCTGTCTGAGCTGAGATGTATCCAGCCATCCCTCTGCAGCTCTCTGTGCCCAGGAGAGCTCTCTCATTCCAGTTCAGTGGGATACAGACCAGAGGATACTTCTCACCTTTGACTCACTCTCAGAACTTTGCCATGAACAAGTGACTTCCATATGAGAAGAGAAATTTCACATGAGTGAAACCCTGGGTCTATTTAGCTATTCAGTGAAACACCCAGAGGTGTAAATTGAGGTCCCAACAGTCTTAAGAAGTTTTTGAGTCATTAATTCCACAAGCTTCTCTCTGTTTTTTTCTTAACAGGATCAAGCAAAGACCAAGAGGTGGCTTGAGGACATGGGATCCTGAAACAGGTAACTGCATGGTATTGGTGCTGATAACCATCCAAGGTAAACTTTGGACATGCTGGCTCGTCTTCCTCACTTTAAAGTATTGTATTTCAGCTTACCTCACCAGATGTGATTTTAACAATAACTCAAGGCCATTCTGTGACTGGACTCAGCCTTGCAATGTCAACCAGGGAATGTGGATACGAACCAAGCATGACACTCCAACTGATGGAACAGGTCCTGATGGAGACTATCCTGATGGAAGTAAGTGCTCGTTTGTGGCCTTGTTGATTTTCCTTTTCTGAAGACAGCTTGAATACCTTTATTCTTCTTTCTTTGAAAGGGAAAAGAGATTAATGAAGCCCTTTGAAATGTGTCTGGTTTGTTACGTGCTGACGCCTGTCTTTGACTTTTCATCATATCAGAGAGGAGTGAAATAAAACTGTCTTGCCCATCATAGATTTGATACCTTTATCAGTGCATGGAAGTAAAAGAAAGCAAATTTTATCTTGCTTAAGGCCTTAAAAAGAATGTAGTGACATGGAACAGGTAATTTTTCAAGAGAAGGCTTCTGGCCAAATTCCACTGATACCAGTTTATGGCAACAAATGTAATGATTACTGCACTGGCACAAGATAAAGTTCACACCAGCTAGTTACAAAATCAAGTATGAAATTGAAGAATATTTAAAAAATACTTGTCCTCTGATACCTGTGATTTAAAACTGGATTCTAATGTGGTCACAGTATCAAAAAAATACTCCATGGCTCCATCTCTGTGTGTTTGAACCACTATCCTTGCCCCAGCAGATCCATTTAGGGGGATCAGTCTGCAGTCATACAGCTTCCTGTAATTATCCCAAAACTGAAAGGTCAGCTACTGTCAGAGTCAGTAAGTGGATTAGAACAGTATTAGTTGGGATTGTTGCTAAATAATTTTCTGCATTTTTACTATTTTGATAATACCAAATAAAATTGCCTGTTGGAAGAAGAAATGAAACATTTTTTATTTAGATTAGCAAAAATAATAATGTTTTGGTTTTTGAATTGACACAGACCATATCACTTTAAATGTTACTTAGATTTCCTTTCCAACTTAAATCTATGACTGAATATTAGATGTTATGTGTGGAGCCATCCTTTATCATGCAGAAATGGCATTCATTTATTTTTTATTCTTTTCCATAGTCAGATAGGAGGGACTTGACTTTAGCTGCCCTGTGAAAAGGTAACTTTGATCTTAGCCCACATGAAACAAAAAACTTCAGCCCTAGTAAAGCAAAATCTGATTTCATATTGAACCAATCAGACTAAAGCATTTCAAATCCTAAATAAACACTGCCAGTCTCTGAATTTGGAAAAATTTCCTTCCTTTTCAAATGTCAAATGTAAGTATTCTCAAGGAAATATCAGCACTGCTTTCTATTTCTTTCATTTTGAGACAGATGGTTTGGAATTTTCTTTGTGCCAGGAATTTACTCATTTTGAGTCCAAAGTATTTATGGAAAAAATATATCCCACAAAAGAAAGTGTATAGAAGATTGCCTTATTTTCCAGTGAGGAAAGTGGAAACTGAACATAGAGCAGTGTGGCAGTGTCTGGAGGTGCTGTCTCTTGAAAGAGTCACACATCTTTTATTGTGATCCCAAAAGAACTGTTCTTGTGAGATTAAATATATTTGCTTTGCTCTCAGACTCACATTCTACTTCCTATAACTACATGGGTTAACCATTGCAATATGAAGTCCAAACACCCTTTGCTTTGCTTCTTTACACTGATAATGATGCCTTAATTTCTTCCAGATTTGGATTGTATTTCAGTTTTAAATGATATCTAATAGGTTGTCAGAAGCTTCAACCATATTTTAATTTTTTTTTCACTCTGCAGAAGGCTATTTCATCTACCAAGAAGCAAGTAATCTGATCCCCTTCGACACTAACAGGCTAGAGAGCCCAGATACTGTAGTTTCTGGAAAAATATGCATAGACTTCTGGTACTACATGTTTGGATCAGAAGAGATGAATGAGCTGAGAGTGCTTGTCCAAGATGGCACAGGGGAGTCTGTGGTGTGGCATAGGAAGGGAAACCAGAGTTCCTTGTGGAAATATGGTGCCATCACTCACACTTTTCCAACACAGAGAAAGATAAAGGTAATATATTTGCAGAATATATTTCTTTGCACAGTGTCAGCATTTTTTGCCCTTTGCAGGTTGCAAAATGTTATGCTTGGTTTACATTAAACCAAGATTTGCTGGGTTTATATTTTGTAAATAAAATGGCCTCATGATTTCTGTCAATGAGCTAAGAGAAGAAACCACAAACCTCCTAGTTTCACCTAGCTGTTAGCTAAGGGATAAAATTCAGCTTAGTTTTCTCTTTTTTTCCTTCCTTCACTCCTTTATTTTATCATGAAGTCAAGGACTTCAGATGTTGTAATTAAATGCAGGTTTGTCTGTTGTGAGTTTAAGGGTTTCAACTTTTGGGTGTCTCCTGCATTGGACTCCTCTGTAGAATCCAGCCCATTAATTCTCATAAATCATTTATAAGTCAGCAAAACAGAGGGCCATGTTTCCTGCAGTCCACACCTTATTACAGAATATATATTCCTCTGGCTGTTATAACCTCATCTTGTTGATTGCTATTTTTAGCAAAAAAGCAGATAGATTAGTTTGAAAATGTGCTAAGAGAAATGGTATTGTGTTTGCCTAAACATCTCTGATGCAGGGATCACTTTGTGTCCTGCCTAGGTAATTTTTGAGGCTGTCCGAGGACTGACAGAGTTTGGGGATACAGCACTGGACAATGTGAGAGTAAGGGATGGACCCTGTGGTAAGTCAGTGTTTGCACCCCAGTCTGTGCTATTTCCTCCTCTCTGTTTAAGCTGACCACAAATTCCCATTACTATACTCCATATACAATATAGCAACCCCTCAGAACTTGGAACCACAAAAGAGAAATGGCAAAATCTTTACACCTCACTTCATTTCAATGTTATGTGTTTTGCTGTAATTTCTTCCTAAATCTTTCCTCGTCACCTTCAACATCCAAGACAAGCTATCCCTTTCTCTGCAACTGTGACCTTTTTCACCAGGTCCAGCAAAATTTACCTTCACTTCTAAGTCTGAAGTGCATTTTTAAATCTAGACAAGGCTACACACTTTGATCTTGGATTCCAGATTACATGGTCTAATTGTCATTTTACAGCAAATATCAGTTCATGCAAGCTCATTAAATACACAGTACAACCGTACGTCACATTAAGAAATATCAATGAGTCAATAACACTGAGTTGGACTACCAGCTTTGACTACAAACCAGCAATTTCAGCTTGATCTCTGACCCTGTAACACATCAGCTAAAACTAGCACAAGCTGTGCATGGCTGGGATCCATTTTTACTGACAAGCATGGAATACCTACAGAATGTAAATTGACCAAGGAATTTACTGAAAAACTTATAGAAAGTTTCATTAGGTCTTAATAGGTGTTATTTTCTGTGAAATATAACTAAGGTGATTACATAATCTGTTTCAAATTTACATTACCTATGTCAAAGATTTCCTTTCAGATCCACGTCCTCTGATCATGTGATTTTATTTTAAATTCCTTGAAAAGGGCTTGTGGCCTTATCTTGTTTGAGGGCTAGGGAGAGCCAGTTCTTCATTTTTCTAGTTGTATTAGCACATGATTCAGCCACCGGATGGTGCACAAAGGTAATTCCAAGAGATGAGAGCTTCTCTGTTCATCTCACTCTCATACCTGCCAACACTCACTGGCAGTAAGACCTCCATGTGTCTTAACACACACGAGAGGAAGTCATACATCCAACTGTAACTACACTTCCCGAAGAGCCCCAGCACAGTCACTGTGATCAAACTAACAATCAGATGAGCTTTCCTAAGAGCTAAAAAGACCTACATATCCCTGATTCTAAACACAGGCAGCTCTACTTGTTTTACTGAAGAACTTCTTACTTTATGGTGGTGAAAAGTAAGTGAAAATCCCTGTACATTAGTGTGTAAATAGTGTTCACCCTTTAATGGCAAAGTTCATCGTATTGCTTTGTTTTTTCAATTAACAGAAGCTGTCCCTACACCTGTACCACCAATACCTACACCAACAGAACCTACACCACTTCCAGTGACAGGTAATTTTAGCCAATCACATATACTACTCAGTGGGTTGTAGGACACTTACATTTTTTACTAACAGTACTGCTTCTTTGCTTCAGTTAATTTCTATGGGTACTTGTCTATGATGTCGCTTTATGCCATACAAATCAGCCTTTTCTGTTTCAGTTCTTCCATCAATCTACAAAATGAGGGTGATTATGCAGTGGGAGGACACAATAAGATGGGCTTTTGGGATGTGTCTGTATGTTAATGAGAACATATTCATTTTCCTGTCTCCAGAAGCTATTTGCAGTATACATGGAGATCCCCACTACAACACCTTCGACAAACAGCGTCATGACTTCATGGGCACCTGCACCTACACCCTCTCCAAGCTGTGTGAGACCAACAGCTCCCTGCCCTACTTCAACGTGGAAGCGGCCAATGAGCACAGGGGAGGCAACACCCGTGTGTCCTATGTCCAGTACGTGGATATTGATGTCTATGGCTACAGGATCAACCTTGGTCAAAAAAGAGTTGTTAAGGTAAGGTTGGAGCCCACTGCCTATCATTCAAAACTCATAGCATGAATGAAGATATTGTCGGACAGTGACTACAAATTTCCAGTATCCACACAATAATTTTTAGAGGGCAGTCAGATATTTAGGAGCAGGAGTAATGTTCCTAAACATAGGAATTTCAAAACTGAAAGCATAGGCTAAAATTCTGCACTGTGTTTTTGAAAGGTGGCTAAGAGCTGACAGTCCAGATGGGGCTGGTGGGCTAGACAACCTTTCTAACCTGCTCCCCATGCTCAAGTTCGGCATTTAACAGGGAGCACAGTGGCTCTGAATTAGCTGAGTTCATGCTGGTAGTAATTTTCCTGTGTGGTAGTCTGGAAAAGTGAACACTTATCCCTGATCTCTACTTATTCCACTTCACTGTTAACTTCACTTAACACCAGGCCTTTGCCATAGAGCAGGATCAGGTGGCAGTCCTGGAGTGACAATCTGATGACTCTCCTTACACCGATTGTACACTTGTCCAGCTTGCATCCTAGGACTTCTTTATGTATCCTTTCCATAAAGGGTCAAGACAGTAGAAATGGTTGAACCATAGCCCCAGCATATGAACAGGTCACCTTGCTTCATTATTACCCTTCTTATAAGAAAATACAGCAGTGATTTAAAAGAGGCGAAGGTTTGAAGGTACATTGAAACCATTCCCATCTGATCTTAGAGACATAGAGAACTGATATGTCCTCATTTGTCCAACAGTCTCTCTCTTATACCTTTTCCCTCTATTTACTGCTTTTATTATAAAAAAATAATAGGTCTGTAGGCAGTTGCTGCAGACAGACCATGCTAAGTATTGGACTTCTGCCTGCTGTGCCTGGCTCACCAAGACCACATTTGTAAGCTATGTTGTAGCCACGCTGTTATGGCCTCAAGACTGAGATTATGTGGCCATATACATGTATACATACATATAGCACAGAGTTCTTACTGCTCACTGTGTCAATATAGCGATCTAAGAGTGTCACCATTAAAAATACTTCTTGTCAAGTGATTACAATACTTGTCCTGCTCTGTGCCTGCAGGTCAATGGAGTCAGCCAGGTGATCCCTGTGACTGTGGTCCCAGGTGCCAGTATTTTCTTCAGTGGGCAGTATGTTGTGGTTACTACTGACTTCGGGCTGCAAGTCAAGTTTGATGGAAATCACAGAGCAGAAATCACTCTTCCCAGTACCTATATGTCTAAAGTCTGTGGAATATGTGGAAATTACAATGGGCAAAAAACAGATGACTTTCTCAACCCAGATGGAGAGATGGAAGCAAACTCAACCAGCCTTGGCAACAGTTGGCAAGTTTACAATGACTCCAGGTAGGACTCCTGTCAGGATGTCAGGTCTTACCTGTTGGCTATGCGATGACCACTGTTTTATGCAGCCCTTCTGTGGAGGCCAAAAATGTCTGATGTGGGATAAAATCTGTCCTTATCAGTGTTCTTAGTTTATGCATCTATGTAAAGTTTCACTGAAAGTTTAACTGTGCTTAAAAAGAGAAAATTTCTTAGACTCTTAGGCTGGAAAAGACCTTTAATCATTGAGTTGAACAGTTAACCCTGTTAAGTGTATAGCACTGCTATATCTACCAGCACACGTCCCCAAATGCCACACTTATGCATCTTCTCAATTCCTCCAGGCATGGTGACTCCATCACTTCCCTGGGCAGACTGTTCCAATGCTCAACAACCCTTTTGGAGAAGAAATTTTTCCTAATATCTAGTCTAAACCTCCCCTGGTGCAACTTGAGGCCATTTCCTCTCACCCTGTTACCTGGAAAAGAGACTACCCTCCATCTCACTACAACCTCCTTTCAGGGAGCTGCAGAGATTGAGGAGGTGTCCCCTGAGCCTTTTTCTTCCCAAGGCCTAACAACCTCAATTCCCTCAGCCACTCTTTGTAAGACTTGTGCTTCAGAACCTTCACCAGCTCCATTGTCCTTCTTTGGATACAGCCCTGCACCTCAATGTCTTTCTGGTAGTGACAGGCCCAAAACTGAGCATAGGAATCAAAGTGTGGCCTTAACAGTGCCAAGGACAGGGGAGTGATCCCTTCCTTCTTCCCCACTTAAATCTTACTCTACATATGCTTTTTGCCCAAAGAGAATCCAGCTGGGGTGGGGACAGGGGGGAGTGGTTTTTTTCCCCTCACATCATGATGATTCCTCAGGAAAAGCTCAGGCTTCTGCTGGGCTCCATCAGCCAGTACCATCCTTGTAGCCTCACCATGGGAAAGGGCTTTGTCCCTTTTGTTCAGGGCTGGATCCTGCCAGGTGCTGGGCACTGCACACACAGCACCCATATCTTCATACCACATACCCCTGGAGCAACCCCTGGCCCTGATTTTTAGGGTTACTTACACTTTGGGGTTTTCAGGAAGAGTGGCCAATTAAATCAGAAAATCATATGTATTTTGTAATGTCTCCACAAATGGTCTCTTTAGGCACCCTGATGCAACCCAGGCACACAGCTGCAAGCAAACACTCCCATAAAAGAGACACTGACTTTCTCATTTGCTTTGCCTTGATGATAGGAGAGAAAGGCCACAGGGGCTTCTTTTGTCCCCTAGTGCTGTTTGAGCAAACATGGAGTTTGTTAAGTACAAATACAGGCCAGACAGGGAGAATGATCTGTGACTTTTAGCACTGACTTGGCTAAATTCCTTTTGTACATTTAAATGTACATTTTAGTATTTTAATAAAACACAGAAGGTGCCCACTAAGCTTTCAGTTATTGTTTTAGTTTATGAATGCTAATAATTGAAGACATTGCTTCAACTCTTCTGAGATAATTGACTTGTTATTATTACACAGAATGTTATTCAATGAGAGCAGGAGTTGAACTTTGAATTGCTTTCACTTTCTAATTCCCCTTCTGTGTAAACAGCCTGAATTACCAGAAAGCCAAAAATAAACATCTGGGTTTTGTCCAAGCCTCTCAAAGATTATCAGGTTGAGATCATACTGAAATCTGAATTTCTATCCTAAGAGCTTGAAATAGAGGGATTGGAAATATGTCATGTTTAGTCTGGGAAGAGACCTGTAGTTTTGGTAGATGTGATTTCAAAACCATCTCAGGTTCTAGTGAATCCAAAGTTGATCCGTTAATTTTTCCACGTCTTTTTTCTTTTTTTCCACATTAGGTGTTCACCAGATGATGGCCATACTCCAAACTGCACTGATGATGAAAAGCACATGATCCAAAGCAACGCATACTGTGGTCTGATCACAGATCCAAATGGTCCATTCCAGAACTGCCACTCAGTAGTTGATCCACAGAGTTATTTTGAAGATTGCCAGTATGATCTCTGTGAACTTCACTTGAACAATGCAGCCCTCTGTGAAAGCCTACAGGCTTATGCAGACGTGTGCCAAACTGCAGGAGTCCAGCTGGAACCATGGAGAAACACAACCTTTTGCCGTATGTATAAAAGATTGTTAGAAATTACCACTTGTCAGGAGGATATAACGAGGATTTCCTGAAGACAGACTTACAGCCCAGCTTTGAATTCATGTAACACTGAGAATCTTGACTTTTATGTCTAAAGATTTCAGGGTTATATGTAGTTCCTCAGTTAGATTCCTTTGGGAAGATGCTAGTGAAAATAGTTCAGCTGCTTTGAATGAAAGGAAAAATTGCCACCTATTCAAACGTAAAATAGAATTTGAGGCCTTTCCTTTGAATTCCTCTCTGCAAAGAGAGCAAGATGAAGGAGGAACTCTTCTGACATACTGAGCAGGAGATCTGGGATAAAAGGAGGAGATTATAAACACTATCAGTGGCATGGACTCCCATATGTATAAGAGAGTAGGGAGTGCTGACCATTCTTCTAAATTGGATGTGGAGGAAAGTGTCAGTGTGCTATCCAGGTATAGTCCTTCATGGTTTCAGATGGGAGAGGGGCCAACACGGATTGGAAGCCTGGAATTAAAGAACAGGACTGAAGTCAAAAGTAATTGGAGATTGAAACAGTAGAGATTGTAACAATGCTATTCAGGGTGGAGAAGGTGGGGAGAGTAGGGAAGAGATGGAAGAGACAAACACACAGAGACACAAGACAAAAGGTGTCAAATAATAAAGTGATAGATAGGTGTCTGTGCTAGGGAATAAGTAGGAATAATGATTTTTCTTGACTGAGTATTGGTAAAGAGTAAATAAAGAATATTTCTCAAGCATTCAGGCATATATTATAGGAAAAATACTGATATTATTTTTAGAACAGAATTTAATTACAAATATAATGTCTGAAATGCCTGAATAGACCTGTTCCCACTAGAAACAATAAAAGGAACAGGAAATAGTAATACACTTACCCTGGCAGCCTTCTAGGCTGAAGGAGATGGGGAGACTAAAAAGCTTGTCTGAATACAATGGAATTACTGAAGCCTAATTTCTTTTCTGACATTTGTTTCCCATTTGACTTTAGTCTCCATCTGGAACATTTTCTAGGCTGTAGACATTACTGAGGCTTTCTTTCCTAGAAGTTCTGTGGTGTCTAAGCAGGAGTGAGCTGACTCTGCACCTCTCCTTCCTGCTAAAAGAGGTTGCAGGATTCCCCATCCTTGCCTTGTGCCTATTTCTTTAATGAACCTGAATATATTTTTGTCCTCTGCCAACCTCACCAAGTTATTTCCTGTAGATCATGTGGGAAAAATTAAGTGAGAGGATGGGCAGAGAAATGTAGAAGGTCATTGTATAATCTCTATCTCCTTAGAAAAGTACGCTAAGGAGAGAGTAAGAAAACATGTCATTAGAAATTGTCTCACATCACATAAACATGTGGAAGCTGAAAAAAGATTGCTCAGAAAGCTCCAGTTCTCAGACCTTCTCATCAGAATATGACAGTGTTTAAAAGATCTAGATACAAAGAATTAAGAATTAAAAATTAAGGATCAACTCATGACAACATGTCTGGATATCAGAACTACAGACTAATATAGCACGTTTAGGACAATAGCTAACATGATATTGATATCCCCTGTCCAATGCAAGAATTCAAGAAATCACCTTCATATCCTAAGAAATGCTCTCTCTGAGTGAAAGTTTAGACACCCAAACTTCAAAAGAAAATTCAAGTGTGGTAAGACAACAAAGGCATGAATGAAAATGCTGCTAAGCACAAGATGTTCACAAATATTTCAAAAGGAATCATAATATGATATTAAACAAATCCCAATACTTAAGTAATTAAAAATATTAATATATATCTTTATATTTTCTTACACAGCAATGGCCTGCCAAGCCAACAGTCACTATGAGCCCTGTGCTGCAGCTTGCCCTGCCACCTGTGTTGACCCGATGGCTCCCCACAGCTGCAGCCTGCCGTGCGTGGAGGGCTGTGTGTGCGACAGCGGGTACCTGCTCTACAACGACCGCTGCGTGCCCAGCCAGCAGTGCGGGTGCTGGCACAACGGGCAGCACTACCCCGTGGGCTCCGAGTTCTGGACGGACGACACCTGCTCCTCCAAGTGCACGTGTCCTGCACGGGGAAGCAAAGTCCAGTGCTTCAATGCCTCCTGCCCTGCGGGCCAGTACTGCGGGGTGCAGGACGGGAAACCTGTGTGCCTCGAACACTCCTACGGCATCTGCCACGTCCACGGGGACCCCCACTACAAAACCTTTGACAGGGTGACGCACAACTTCATGGGCAACTGCACCTACACCCTGGCCAAAGTGTGCTCCAACATCACCTCCCTGCCCTACTTCAATGTGGAGGCCAAGAACGAGCACCGTGGCAACACCCGAGTGTCCTACGTGCGCGAAGTCGTGGTTGAGGTGTACGGACAGCGCATTGTCATCCTCAAGAAGCAGGAGAGCCACGTGCTGGTAGGCAGTGGGGCATGAGCGTGGTGGGGCTGCAGGGCAGCCCTGGCTGCACCTGGCAGGGCCTGGCATGTACCAGATGCCTCCATTGTCCCAGGAATGGGTGGGCTCCCCTGAAGGCTCTGGGTCCCTTGGTTTTTTCCTTTTGTGATGGGCTGGAGGAGGAAGAGGCAAATGGGGACCGTGGGCCATGTTGAGCACAGTGCAGAACACAGCACACAGCTCTGTGAGCCCCAGGAATGTTGGGGGGTGGGGACATCCCAGGCAGCTGTTTGCTGTGCCTGGGCTGGCAGCCACTTTCCCTGGGCAGGAGCAGCTGGGGAGGCCGGGGACAGGCCCGGGGCCCACTGTGGTGTGTGTGCCGTAGGTGAACAACGTGCGCCAGACGTTGCCGGTGAGCGCAGCGGGAGGGGCCATCACGGTGAGCAAGAGTGGTCGCTACATCGTCCTGGAGACAGACTTCAACCTCCGAGTGTCCTACGACGCTGACCACTCGGTGGAGGTGAAGGTGCCCACCACCTACTTCAACCTGACCTGTGGCATGTGTGGCAACTTCAACAACCGCAGAGACGACGAGTACATGATGCCCAATGGGCAGCAAGCCACAGACTCCAATGCGCTGGGGGAGAGCTGGCAGGTCCCAGACAGTGACCCCTCCTGCGGTGTCCCTGTCCCCTCCCCACCCTGCAGTGCAGAAGAGGAGAAGCTCTACCGCTCCGACCAGTTCTGTGGCATGCTGACCACCAGGCCTAGCGCTTTTGACAGGTGCCATGGCGTGATCAACCCCCAGGACTACTTTGACACCTGCTTGTACGACCTGTGTGCCCTGAATGGTGGCCAGGAGTTCCTGTGTGCTGCTCTGGAGGCCTATGCTGACGCTTGCCAGGCAGCTGGTGTGACTCTTCTTCCCTGGAGGAATGCTACCTTCTGCCGTGAGTACCCGCCTTGCCTTTGCCAGAAAGGCAAATGGGCCACACCCTCTGCTCTGAACCTCTGGCCAAAGCAAGTCTTTGGTGTGTCCCTTCCCACTAGGCTGTCCATGGTTGAAATCTTGCTGGTCTTAATTTTCCTCTTCCCATTGCAGCCCTGCAGTGTCCCCCCAACAGCTACTACGACCCCTGCATGACCGGCTGTCCTGCCACCTGTGCTGACCAACAAGCCCCACAGAACTGCGCCAAGCCTTGTGTGGAGGGCTGTGCATGTAGCTCTGGCTTCCTCCTGAGTGGAGACACCTGTGTGCCCGAGGCCAACTGTGGCTGCCTCTTTGAGGGCAACTACTACACTGTGAGTGAAAAGCCTGCCCTGGTTTGCACCCTTGCCAGGCCACTCCTCTGCCTCTGCCTTCCCGACCCATGCTGACTGAGGTTTGGTGTTTTCCTGCCTGCAGGAAGGCGAATCCTCCGTGAATGAGAACTGCACTCGCCGGTGCCGGTGCGAAGCCAAAGGCCAGATGGTTTGCTCTGCCTTGTCCTGTGGCGAGGACGAGGTCTGCAAGATCCAGGATGGCCAGAGGGGCTGTTACCCAGCCAGCACTGCCGTCTGCCACATCTACGGTGACCCACATTACAGCACCTTTGATGGGAAGCTCCATCACTTCCAGGGCTCCTGCAACTACACAGTGGTGACGGGCTGTGACAATTCCTCCGTTGGCTTCAGTGTCACCACCCGCAACAAACATCGCGGCAGCCGGAGCTGGACAGCTCTGAACTCTGTGGCACTGTCCCTCAAGGGCCTCCACATTGCACTGCGCGAGCACAAGGCAGTCTACGTAAGCCTCTCATGTTTATACCTGGGAACAACAGACACACTGGACACCCTGAAAGTACCCCTCTGTCCCCAAGGACAGCTTGCTACTCCCTGAGCCTGCTGCATGCTCACAGAAGAGCATGGCAGGGCTCTGAATGGGCCATATACGGCTGCTTATGCAGACTCAGATCCTTGGTTTCTTTCCTGAGCTTTCACTGAGCCATTGGGACAGTTGCTGCTGCCCCTGTTGGCCAGGGCAGGGTTTCTCACACCAGCAGTGCTTCTGGCTCACTGGCACTACCCCAGAGAGGAGCAGTGACCTCTCAGTGGAGGGCACCTCTTTATGCTTCTGTCTCTCTCTGTCCCCCTTCTCCAGATCAATGGTGCTCTGGTCTCCCTGCCTGCTTCTCCTGCCCCCGGTGTGACCGTTTCCCTGAGCGGCTCCTACGTGCGGGTTGTTACCAAGCTGGGCCTGCAGCTGCAGTTCAATGGGGACCATGAGCTCCTAGTGAAGGTGTCGGAGAAGTACAAGGGCAAGCTCTGTGGGCTGTGTGGGACGTACACTGGGAGCCAGCAGGATGACTTCATGCGACCCGATGGGGTGGTTGTACCCGACTTCAACGACTTTGGAGCCAGCTGGATGGTGCCGGATGATGAGTGGCCGTGAGTCCTTGTTCCCTCATGCAGACGAAGGACAGCAGGGAGTGTGGGAGAGGGGAGCTGAGGGAGGCTTGGTGATGGCAAGCATGGGGCAAGTGAGAAGAGGCTGTTCCTGACCCCAGGAAGAGTGGGCTGAGCCTGGGCAGGATGCTTTTCCCAGGCTGTTTGGATCCCAACTGCCTCAGTCGTTTGTTTCTGTCCACCTGAAACCAGGGAGGGCAACGGCGCCTGTGGGCCATGTGTTCCAGCCTTTCAAGAGACAGCCATGGGGGCCTGTCTTAGGGAGGGATCTGGACTGCAGAAGCTGAGGTTATGGGTGGGGAGGAGGCCAGGAAATGCAGAGGCTGCTTTCAACAGGCTGTAGGGAACTCAGGGCTGTCTGTCTGCTTTGTAGGTGTGACCCAACCATCAGCCCACCTCCATCCTGCTCCCCTGCTGAAGAGGAGGCAGCTAACAAGCAGTGTTCAATCCTCACACACCTCGGTGGCCCGTTCCAGCCATGCCATGCAGTTCTGCCACCCAAGACATACTTGGAGAGCTGTGTCTATGACCAGTGTGCCACGGGTGGCAGCACGGAGCAGCTCTGCAATGACCTGGGGGCCTATGCTGCAGCCTGTGCTGAGGCAGGTGTTGCTCTGGGAGACTGGAGTGCTGGCACTGTCTGTGGTAAGTCTTCTGTTGAACTCCTTTGATTTCCTTGAATCCCAAAGGCAAGGAATGGGGCAGTACATGGCGGCAGAGATTTCCCATAACTACGTAGCCCATAACTAGCCACTCTGGTGGGCCAGCCCTTGCATGAAGAGACCCTTCTGGACACGTGGAATCCCTTTCCCACACTTTGTTTGCAATGGTGTGGGGGTGTTTGGGATGTGTGCAATGTCCCCATTTGGGAACAAATCTTCATAATCAAACATACCTTCTCCACTTCTGTTTCACTCACCAGCTCCTACAACCTCGCCCCCCTTGCCAGGCACTACAACACAGCCTCCACATACAACAACATCACCTGGGACAAGCACAGGTACGCTTGTCTGCCATCTGTGGTTTTTTGTGGCTGTGCTAAGCACTTCCCTTTGGCTGGCCACCCTTGCCTGTCCACGGGCATGCCATGGATGTACATGGATGTGCCTGAGCTCTGCTGGACATGGGGAAAAGGTGGCCCCACCCTCACTCTACAACCTCTGCTTTCCTTTCTGCACCATGTTCAGCTCCACCAACAGACTGCAATTTTGCCTGCACATTCGACAAGGACTTCTGTGGGTGGGTCCAGGAAGATTACAGCAGCATTGACTGGATAAGGAACAAAGGCCCCACACCCACGCCAAACACCGGCCCATCCTCTGACCACACAACAGGAGGTAGGAACAGCAATCAGGACACAGGCAGAGAGCTGTCCCTGCAAAAATGGCAACAAACTTCTAACAGCAAACACGGACCACATTTTTCCTGGCCTTCTTCAGGAGCAGTTTGTCCAGTGTCCCTGAGGGCCTGAGGATCCTCTCGGGAGGATTTCCAACCCTGACAATCAGTTTGTGCTACCCCCAGAGCAGGCGAGGACCTGCCATGCAGGGGAGAATGTAATGCACAGCTTGGTGATCTGTCCGTCTCTGGGGAGGACAAATGGGTCTGTGGCTCTGTTACAAAATCCTGCCTTTTCCAGAAGCCACAATGGGGGTTCTGCAAATCTGCAGTGCCGTGTGAGGACTGAGGCAATGCTTTGGAGGAGTTGCCATGACCCTGTCCAAAGCATACCTCTGCCATGGCCCTGAGAGCACATTCATAGAGGCACTGGGGTCTGGGGAAGGTTGTGGCTCGTGAAGGATCTGTGTTTGCTCTTCGCTCCTTTTTGCCTGCCTGAAACTGCAGCTGGGGTGCTCCCACAACTATGCTTGGGTTGTCCCTGGCTGCTTTGGGTAGCTCTGATGCATCTGTGACAGTGTGGCTCGTGCTTTGTTTCAGATGGCTACTACATCTTCCTGCAAGGGAGTGATGATACTCTCCCTGGCTTTGTGGCTCACCTGGTCAGCCCGGTGTGCAGCTGGGAAGGAACACTCTGCTTCCGCTTCTGGTACCACATGTATGGAAGTGCTAAATCAATGGCCCTGCGGGTGTACGTGCGGAAGGACGATGAGCCAGTGCTGGTCTGGCAAGAAGTTGGGAACCATGGGGACAGGTGGCACTTGGGAGAGGTCACGGTGCACACCACTGGAAACATGCAGGTAAGGCCACAGGCTCTCACTGTCACCTCAGAGGAGCTGTGCTTTCTAACCGTGCTCTTCACACATGCAGCTGGACCTAACCCTGGGAACCATTCCTTCTCTTAGATTTTGCTGGAGGGAGAATGGGGTGAAGATGTGAGGAGCAACATAGCATTGGATGATGTCTCCGTTGAAAAGGGATCCTGTGCAGGTACAAGGCTTGGCTTAGGGAAGGGCAGCCTGAGACATGTCACTGACTGGGGGGGCAGGCTGTGCTACAGGCAGGAGCACAGGTTGTCTTTGGGCACTGATGCAGCCTGTCCCCAAGTCAACTCTCCTCTGGGAGGTTGGAGCACTGGCAAAGCCTGCAGTCACTGTTTTAGTTCACGTGTTGTGAACAAAGCCGTGGACCAGAGATTGACCACAGGTACAGAAGTGCCTTATCTGCTGTTGTCACCCAGCTCAGCTGGTGGCGGAGCCCTTGAGTGGGACAGCTCTGCTTGAGATGACACTCTTCAGTCCCTGTCCTGGGTATGCCTAGTCATGGTGTTGGGTAATTTAGAAGGGTGAGGGAACCATCTGCCTGCAACAAAACTCCCCTGTTGGTGCACATCTCCTCTGACTCTCTCTTGTGCTAGGTCCATCGACACCAACACCCACGGTGCCCTTGCCAGGTCCCACAATGCAGCCTATACTCACCACCATCCTCATTTGTTTCTAATTCTTTAAAGTGTTCATTTTGCTTCCTCCAATGCCCACATCATGGGATGGAGAGTTTGTTCTGAAGGGAGGTATGTCTCCTCCTGTCTCCCAGCCCCACTGCTGGTGGTAGTGTTTTTGCAGAAATGTGACAATGCCATCCCTGCCCTGGGTCTCCTGAGTCAGCGTGTTGGGTTTTTCAGGAAAGCTGGATGACCTGCTTACAACAAAGTCTCTTGTTGTCACTTACCACTTCTTCCTGCATCTCTCCATAGGTCCACCTCCTACTACACCCCCTACTCTACTGCCTAACATTACCACACAGACAACGCCAAGCCCACCAACCACAACACCTGGGATGACCTCAGGTACTGCTATTATTGGTAGAGTTCTGAGTCCACTTCAAAACCCATATGGTGACATGGTGCCTTTGCATTTAAGGGCTGGTATTTATTGCCGTCACCCTCAATTATAAGTCATGCATTGAATCCTCTTCCATTTCTATGGGTTGGTGTGGGACAGCTGTGCTTCCAGCTTTAGGATGTTTGAGTAGCTTTCAACTGTATGTCTATAAAAAGTAATGCTCTCTTGATATAGCTCCATGGTAACTCTGTCTGTCCGAAAAGCCAACAGACCACTCATGCACTAGATGCTGTTTGAGCAAAGTGAGCTGGGGAGAAGAGGCAGTAGGAGGTGCTCAGCTGAGAGTTTCCTCTGGTCTTTCCACTGTCAGGCACTTGTGTGGTGGAAGGAGACCCTCACTACCACACATTCGACAAGCAGTTACACCATTTCATGGGCACCTGCACCTACACCCTCTCCAAGCTGTGTGACAGCAACAGCTCTCTGCCCTACTTCAACGTGGAAGCGGCCAATGAGCACAGGGGAAGCAACACCCGTGTGTCCTATGTCCGATACGTGGATGTCGATGTGGCTGACCAACGGATAAGGCTGGGACAGGGTGGAGTGGTGACGGTGAGCTTGAGGGGGAGGTGTTGTGGGGCTGTGTGAGAGAAGAAACCTGTGCCAAATGGGCTGCTCCAATCCTGTCTCGCTTCCTCTCCTTCCAGGTCAATGGAGTGGCAGAGATCCTGCCTTGCAGCCCATCTGCAGGCGTGCAGGTCTTGTCCAGCGGGTTCTACACCATGGTCATGACAGACTTTGGCTTGAGAGTCAAGTTTGATGGGAAGCATCGGGTGGAGGTGACACTTCCAAGCACCTTTGGGCAGAAGGTTTGTGGCATGTGTGGAAACTACAACGGGATGGCAGCGGATGACTTCCAGAACCCAGAAGGGGCAATGGAGCCAGACTCCACCAGCCTGGGCAACAGCTGGGAGGTGTCTAACAACAGCAGGTGGGTATGGCCCTCGGTAGCCCTGGGGACACATTGGGCAAGGGAAGGAGGAGGAGGCACCAGGAGAAGTCCAAAAATGACGCAGGGGCCCTTCTGCCTGTCTGTCCACAGCTGCTCAGCCGGACCTCTGCCCATCCCAGCCTGCACTGAGACCGACAAGCAACTCATCGGCAGCAGCCACTTCTGTGGGCTCCTCACTGACACCAGCAGCCCATTTAAGGTGTGCCACGCTGTGCTGAGCCCCAGCAGCTACTTTGACACCTGCTTCTATGACCTGTGTGAGCTGGGACTGGACAGTGAGGCCCTGTGCAAGAGCTTGCAGTCTTATGCAGATGCCTGCCAGTCGCTCGGTGTCCAGATACCTGCATGGAGGAACGCAACCTTCTGCCGTAAGTCCAGACATGGTACCACCGGCTGGCACTCTCAGGAAAACACAGGACAGGGTTGGAAAAGTCAGCTGGGGAATAAGAACTACTGTCCCTATGGGCTTTAGGGATATACAGGTAGATATCAGGATTAGAGGCATCATCTTCTGTTTTGTTTGGATCAGATAGGACTGTGAATACAAGTAGAGTCAATGAGACCACAGAGAATATAGAGATAGCTACTTTTAAAAAAGGGGATATTCAGCAGAAGGCAGTATTCTGTTCTCCAAGTAATTTGCCTGGTCATCTGTCTTGGCAGCAATCACTTGTCCAGCCAACAGTCACTATGAGCCCTGTGCTGCAGCTTGCCCTGCCACCTGTGTTGACCCGATGGCTCCCCACAGCTGCAGCCTGCCGTGCGTGGAGGGCTGTGTGTGCGACAGCGGGTACCTGCTCTACAACGACCGCTGCGTGCCCAGCCAGCAGTGCGGGTGCTGGCACAACGGGCAGCACTACCCCGTGGGCTCCGAGTTCTGGACGGACGACACCTGCTCCTCCAAGTGCACGTGTCCTGCACGGGGAAGCAAAGTCCAGTGCTTCAATGCCTCCTGCCCTGCGGGCCAGTACTGCGGGGTGCAGGACGGGAAACCTGTGTGCCTCGAACACTCCTACGGCATCTGCCACGTCCACGGGGACCCCCACTACAAAACCTTTGACAGGGTGACGCACAACTTCATGGGCAACTGCACCTACACCCTGGCCAAAGTGTGCTCCAACATCACCTCCCTGCCCTACTTCAATGTGGAGGCCAAGAACGAGCACCGTGGCAACACCCGAGTGTCCTACGTGCGCGAAGTCGTGGTTGAGGTGTACGGACAGCGCATTGTCATCCTCAAGAAGCAGGAGAGCCACGTGCTGGTAGGCAGTGGGGCATGAGCGTGGTGGGGCTGCAGGGCAGCCCTGGCTGCACCTGGCAGGGCCTGGCATGTACCAGATGCCTCCATTGTCCCAGGAATGGGTGGGCTCCCCTGAAGGCTCTGGGTCCCTTGGTTTTTTCCTTTTGTGATGGGCTGGAGGAGGAAGAGGCAAATGGGGACCGTGGGCCATGTTGAGCACAGTGCAGAACACAGCACACAGCTCTGTGAGCCCCAGGAATGTTGGGGGGTGGGGACATCCCAGGCAGCTGTTTGCTGTGCCTGGGCTGGCAGCCACTTTCCCTGGGCAGGAGCAGCCGGGGAGGCCGGGGACAGGCCCGGGGCCCACTGTGGTGTGTGTGCCGTAGGTGAACAACGTGCGCCAGACGTTGCCGGTGAGCGCAGCGGGAGGGGCCATCACGGTGAGCAAGAGTGGTCGCTACATCGTCCTGGAGACAGACTTCAACCTCCGAGTGTCCTACGACGCTGACCACTCGGTGGAGGTGAAGGTGCCCACCACCTACTTCAACCTGACCTGTGGCATGTGTGGCAACTTCAACAACCGCAGAGACGACGAGTACATGATGCCCAATGGGCAGCAAGCCACAGACTCCAATGCGCTGGGGGAGAGCTGGCAGGTCCCAGACAGTGACCCCTCCTGCGGTGTCCCTGTCCCCTCCCCACCCTGCAGTGCAGAAGAGGAGAAGCTCTACCGCTCCGACCAGTTCTGTGGCATGCTGACCACCAGGCCTAGCGCTTTTGACAGGTGCCATGGCGTGATCAACCCCCAGGACTACTTTGACACCTGCTTGTACGACCTGTGTGCCCTGAATGGTGGCCAGGAGTTCCTGTGTGCTGCTCTGGAGGCCTATGCTGACGCTTGCCAGGCAGCTGGTGTGACTCTTCTTCCCTGGAGGAATGCTACCTTCTGCCGTGAGTACCCGCCTTGCCTTTGCCAGAAAGGCAAATGGGCCACACCCTCTGCTCTGAACCTCTGGCCAAAGCAAGTCTTTGGTGTGTCCCTTCCCACTAGGCTGTCCATGGTTGAAATCTTGCTGGTCTTAATTTTCCTCTTCCCATTGCAGCCCTGCAGTGTCCCCCCAACAGCTACTACGACCCCTGCATGACCGGCTGTCCTGCCACCTGTGCTGACCAACAAGCCCCACAGAACTGCTCCAAGCCTTGTGTGGAGGGCTGTGCATGTAGCTCTGGCTTCCTCCTGAGTGGAGACACCTGTGTGCCCGAGGCCAACTGTGGCTGCCTCTTTGAGGGCAACTACTACACTGTGAGTGAAAAGCCTGCCCTGGTTTGCACCCTTGCCAGGCCACTCCTCTGCCTCTGCCTTCCCGACCCATGCTGACTGAGGTTTGGTGTTTTCCTGCCTGCAGGAAGGCGAATCCTCCGTGAATGAGAACTGCACTCGCCGGTGCCGGTGCGAAGCCAAAGGCCAGATGGTTTGCTCTGCCTTGTCCTGTGGCGAGGACGAGGTCTGCAAGATCCAGGATGGCCAGAGGGGCTGTTACCCAGCCAGCACTGCCGTCTGCCACATCTACGGTGACCCACATTACAGCACCTTTGATGGGAAGCTCCATCACTTCCAGGGCTCCTGCAACTACACAGTGGTGACGGGCTGTGACAATTCCTCCGTTGGCTTCAGTGTCACCACCCGCAACAAACATCGCGGCAGCCAGAGCTGGACAGCTCTGAACTCTGTGGCACTGTCCCTCAAGGGCCTCCACATTGCACTGCGCGAGCACAAGGCAGTCTACGTAAGCCTCTCATGTTTATACCTGGGAACAACAGACACACTGGACACCCTGAAAGTACCCCTCTGTCCCCAAGGACAGCTTGCTACTCCCTGAGCCTGCTGCATGCTCACAGAAGAGCATGGCAGGGCTCTGAATGGGCCATATACGGCTGCTTATGCAGACTCAGATCCTTGGTTTCTTTCCTGAGCTTTCACTGAGCCATTGGGACAGTTGCTGCTGCCCCTGTTGGCCAGGGCAGGGTTTCTCACACCAGCAGTGCTTCTGGCTCACTGGCACTACCCCAGAGAGGAGCAGTGACCTCTCAGTGGAGGGCACCTCTTTATGCTTCTGTCTCTCTCTGTCCCCCTTCTCCAGATCAATGGTGCTCTGGTCTCCCTGCCTGCTTCTCCTGCCCCCGGTGTGACCGTTTCCCTGAGCGGCTCCTACGTGCGGGTTGTTACCAAGCTGGGCCTGCAGCTGCAGTTCAATGGGGACCATGAGCTCCTAGTGAAGGTGTCGGAGAAGTACAAGGGCAAGCTCTGTGGGCTGTGTGGGACGTACACTGGGAGCCAGCAGGATGACTTCATGCGACCCGATGGGGTGGTTGTACCCGACTTCAACGACTTTGGAGCCAGCTGGATGGTGCCGGATGATGAGTGGCCGTGAGTCCTTGTTCCCTCATGCAGACGAAGGACAGCAGGGAGTGTGGGAGAGGGGAGCTGAGGGAGGCTTGGTGATGGCAAGCATGGGGCAAGTGAGAAGAGGCTGTTCCTGACCCCAGGAAGAGTGGGCTGAGCCTGGGCAGGATGCTTTTCCCAGGCTGTTTGGATCCCAACTGCCTCAGTCGTTTGTTTCTGTCCACCTGAAACCAGGGAGGGCAACGGCGCCTGTGGGCCATGTGTTCCAGCCTTTCAAGAGACAGCCATGGGGGCCTGTCTTAGGGAGGGATCTGGACTGCAGAAGCTGAGGTTATGGGTGGGGAGGAGGCCAGGAAATGCAGAGGCTGCTTTCAACAGGCTGTAGGGAACTCAGGGCTGTCTGTCTGCTTTGTAGGTGTGACCCAACCATCAGCCCACCTCCATCCTGCTCCCCTGCTGAAGAGGAGGCAGCTAACAAGCAGTGTTCAATCCTCACACACCTCGGTGGCCCGTTCCAGCCATGCCATGCAGTTCTGCCACCCAAGACATACTTGGAGAGCTGTGTCTATGACCAGTGTGCCACGGGTGGCAGCACGGAGCAGCTCTGCAATGACCTGGGGGCCTATGCTGCAGCCTGTGCTGAGGCAGGTGTTGCTCTGGGAGACTGGAGTGCTGGCACTGTCTGTGGTAAGTCTTCTGTTGAACTCCTTTGATTTCCTTGAATCCCAAAGGCAAGGAATGGGGCAGTACATGGCGGCAGAGATTTCCCATAACTACGTAGCCCATAACTAGCCACTCTGGTGGGCCAGCCCTTGCATGAAGAGACCCTTCTGGACACGTGGAATCCCTTTCCCACACTTTGTTTGCAATGGTGTGGGGGTGTTTGGGATGTGTGCAATGTCCCCATTTGGGAACAAATCTTCATAATCAAACATACCTTCTCCACTTCTGTTTCACTCACCAGCTCCTACAACCTCGCCCCCCTTGCCAGGCACTACAACACAGCCTCCACATACAACAACATCACCTGGGACAAGCACAGGTACGCTTGTCTGCCATCTGTGGTTTTTTGTGGCTGTGCTAAGCACTTCCCTTTGGCTGGCCACCCTTGCCTGTCCACGGGCATGCCATGGATGTACATGGATGTGCCTGAGCTCTGCTGGACATGGGGAAAAGGTGGCCCCACCCTCACTCTACAACCTCTGCTTTCCTTTCTGCACCATGTTCAGCTCCACCAACAGACTGCAATTTTGCCTGCACATTCGACAAGGACTTCTGTGGGTGGGTCCAGGAAGATTACAGCAGCATTGACTGGATAAGGAACAAAGGCCCCACACCCACGCCAAACACCGGCCCATCCTCTGACCACACAACAGGAGGTAGGAACAGCAATCAGGACACAGGCAGAGAGCTGTCCCTGCAAAAATGGCAACAAACTTCTAACAGCAAACACGGACCACATTTTTCCTGGCCTTCTTCAGGAGCAGTTTGTCCAGTGTCCCTGAGGGCCTGAGGATCCTCTCGGGAGGATTTCCAACCCTGACAATCAGTTTGTGCTACCCCCAGAGCAGGCGAGGACCTGCCATGCAGGGGAGAATGTAATGCACAGCTTGGTGATCTGTCCGTCTCTGGGGAGGACAAATGGGTCTGTGGCTCTGTTACAAAATCCTGCCTTTTCCAGAAGCCACAATGGGGGTTCTGCAAATCTGCAGTGCCGTGTGAGGACTGAGGCAATGCTTTGGAGGAGTTGCCATGACCCTGTCCAAAGCATACCTCTGCCATGGCCCTGAGAGCACATTCATAGAGGCACTGGGGTCTGGGGAAGGTTGTGGCTCGTGAAGGATCTGTGTTTGCTCTTCGCTCCTTTTTGCCTGCCTGAAACTGCAGCTGGGGTGCTCCCACAACTATGCTTGGGTTGTCCCTGGCTGCTTTGGGTAGCTCTGATGCATCTGTGACAGTGTGGCTCGTGCTTTGTTTCAGATGGCTACTACATCTTCCTGCAAGGGAGTGATGATACTCTCCCTGGCTTTGTGGCTCACCTGGTCAGCCCGGTGTGCAGCTGGGAAGGAACACTCTGCTTCCGCTTCTGGTACCACATGTATGGAAGTGCTAAATCAATGGCCCTGCGGGTGTACGTGCGGAAGGACGATGAGCCAGTGCTGGTCTGGCAAGAAGTTGGGAACCATGGGGACAGGTGGCACTTGGGAGAGGTCACGGTGCACACCACTGGAAACATGCAGGTAAGGCCACAGGCTCTCACTGTCACCTCAGAGGAGCTGTGCTTTCTAACCGTGCTCTTCACACATGCAGCTGGACCTAACCCTGGGAACCATTCCTTCTCTTAGATTTTGCTGGAGGGAGAATGGGGTGAAGATGTGAGGAGCAACATAGCATTGGATGATGTCTCCGTTGAAAAGGGATCCTGTGCAGGTACAAGGCTTGGCTTAGGGAAGGGCAGCCTGAGACATGTCACTGACTGGGGGGGCAGGCTGTGCTACAGGCAGGAGCACAGGTTGTCTTTGGGCACTGATGCAGCCTGTCCCCAAGTCAACTCTCCTCTGGGAGGTTGGAGCACTGGCAAAGCCTGCAGTCACTGTTTTAGTTCACGTGTTGTGAACAAAGCCGTGGACCAGAGATTGACCACAGGTACAGAAGTGCCTTATCTGCTGTTGTCACCCAGCTCAGCTGGTGGCGGAGCCCTTGAGTGGGACAGCTCTGCTTGAGATGACACTCTTCAGTCCCTGTCCTGGGTATGCCTAGTCATGGTGTTGGGTAATTTAGAAGGGTGAGGGAACCATCTGCCTGCAACAAAACTCCCCTGTTGGTGCACATCTCCTCTGACTCTCTCTTGTGCTAGGTCCATCGACACCAACACCCACGGTGCCCTTGCCAGGTACCACAACGCAGCCTGTACTCACCACCTCACCAACAAGACCCACTCCAAGCTCAGGTACTGCCATGTTTGATCCTTGTCTCCTACTGCCTCTTAATAGTGTTCGTTTTGCTTCCTTCATGTCTACGACCATGTGGCATATATGTATTTTTCTCCATTTCATCTATGGTGGTATAAGAGTTTCTGGTGAGAAGTCACTGTCAAATCCCTGTCCTGGGCATCCTGGGCCTCCCTGGTCATGTTTTTTGGGTGTTTGTGATGAGGGGATCAGCTGTCTGCAGCAAAACGCCCCTGTAGGTGCGCTTCTCTAACCCTCTCTAGTGCTAGGTCCATTGACACCAACACCCACATGTCCTGTGCGAGGTACCAAATGCATCCTGTACTCACCACCTCACCAACCAGATCCAGACCCTGCTCAGATACTGGCATTTCCAATCTCCTTCTCTTACTGCCTCATCTTAGTGCCTTTAGCACTTCCTTATCTTCTAAATCCAGGTTCCATAGTAAACAGACAGGGATTTTATGCTGGAGGTCCAGAGCTTTTCCTTGCTAATCACACCTTTAGAACATTTCTGCTCTTCTGGGAGTCTGACTTCCAGCTCTGTTCATCTTTCAATAGGTGTCTTTTGCCACAGTGCTGATATTTTTGCAAGAGTAGACCAGACATGATAGCTGTCTCACATACTCTTTATTGCTATGTCCATATATATTTAAATTACTCTTCTGTATGGCAAATTTTCACTTGTTATACAGATGTTATTGTCTGTATATTTAAATTTTTCATTTAATTTCCTTTTTTTTTTTGTTTTGGATATAATCCGATTATATTTTTTTAGGAAATACTAGTTTATTATATAGGATACGTACTAAAATGTCAGTTTAGATAAATTTTAATTGCTGATTTCCTCTAATTTAATCACTAATATCTGTATGTATCTGCTTGTTAAGTACAAGAGAGTCCTGGCTCACCTATTCAGTTCAGATTTCTTCTGCTTTTCTTGGTAATTAATAAATATGTCTTTCTTTGTAAGGAGTTAAGGCTGACATGTAGACACAACCCTAAGTGTAGCTGTATTTTAACATGCCTTTGAAAAGCAAAGATGTAAGAACCCCTCCTAATTATTTTGTTGGTGGTGGGAAACACCATGAAGCACCTTCAGGCTCAACTCTGATAAGAGGTGATGGGAAGTTTTTTCCTTTAAATCAGAAGTTTTTATCAGTATTCTAAATCTTACACAGGTCTCACACATAAATGCATACACAATATACCTCCATTTGTACATGTTATCACTGGCTATTTAATTTTTATTTTTTTTTATTTTTTAAATGTGTAAAGGATATCTTGTGAAAACAATACTCAATTTAAGTTCCATAAATTATATGAGTACCAAACCCCAGACAGCTGATAGTGCAGCGGTCTGTTCTGGCTAACCAGCCCTGTTAAGTTTTTGAGTAAATTCTTCCTGTTTGGTCAGAAAGATATCTTTGGACCCACAAAGAATCTACTCTTGTGTATCAGAAGTCTGTGCTAGAGGTTGATGAAGAAAGTTGGGTAAAAGGCATTATTAAGACATTGTTATATAAGTGGAGCAGTGAGTTTTTACTGTCCAGATCTTAAAAGCTCTTTATAACTCTTAAGCTTTTGGAGTGCTATTGACTGGTGTCATCACTATTATATCTGAGCAACAAATACAACATAAGCAAGCAAACTGGGAACCAAGCATCTGCAAAAGTCTGGTGAAGACTCAGAGGGACTTTTTCTTTCTTCACAGGTCGTGCTTCCTGCAGTGCTTCTGGGGACCCACATTACAACACTTTCGACCACAAAGTTCATAATTTCATGGGAAATTGCACTTACACCCTCTCCAAAGTGTGCACTGTCTCTGAGAGTCTTCCATACTTTGATGTGTCCACAACAAATGAGCACAGAGGAGCCAACACCAAAGTCTCTTATGTGAAGTCGGTGCACGTGAAAGTCTATGACAATCAGATTTCTCTGCTGAAAAACAAGAAAGTGAATGTAAGAAAATACCTGTTAAAAAGACATATAATTTTTAACTGACATGCAGACAATTATTATCTCTGTAGAGTTTATAACAAGACTTTATCTTTTTATTAATGATATCTATCTCTTTTAATGAAATCTCTAACAAACTTGCTCAGATGTTCTTTAATCAGTTCCAGTTGCCCTATGCACAAGATCCTATTTTTCAGCAATCTGTAATAGCTGCTGGTGGTTGTAGGAGTCCCAACAGCCATACACTTACGTTCACAACTTGCTGTACAGGTGAATGGTCGCAGAATGAACTTGCCTGTATTTATTGAAAAGAAGATCAGTATTCAAAGCAGTGGTGGATATGTTCTCTTGGAAACTGACTTCGGACTGTGGGTGAGATATGATGGAAATCATTATGCAGAAGTCTCTGTGCCCTCTAATTACAGTGGTCTGCTCTGTGGCCTATGTGGTAAGTGATTACTTAATTTTTTTTTCCTTAGCATGTAGAAATTACAAGAGTAGTTTGTATTGTGAGTTTCTGATTTTTCTTTGGTTTAGATCATCCGGAGTTTTCTAGTTCAGTTATCTCTTCATGGGTTTTTCACAGTTTCAGTGCAGGAAATCTACCTAAGAATATAATGGTGCAAATAGCACTGTTTAATTTTTAATCCAACGGTCCATCCATGTAGGATGCAAGAAAACTAGTAGGGTTTCTTTAGGTAAGTTTTTTCTTGGATGCCATGTAATCTAGTTACATAGGAGCTTACAGACTTCCTGCTTCAAATGTCTAAGCAGCAGCTCTTGTCAGTAATAAAAACACAATTCTGCTCTTATTTTGCCCAGTACAGATTGATGTTACATATATATTGTCTCTACTTCATTTTAATTTATTTTACAGCCTGAAACCTAGTTTTTTTTCTACGGTTTGAACTTCATAACAGTCATCATCCCATAAATCTCTTTTTACCCTCATAGGTAATTATAATGGTGATCCAAATGATGACAATATCAAGCCCAATGGTGACATTGCAAGTGGTTCCACTGATCTTGGAGAAAGCTGGCTGGTGCCTGAGAATAACACCATGTATGTAAAATCATTTCATCATGTGGCATTTGCTGAGTAAACTCTTAAAATCAAATATCTATCTACTTGCTGGCTTTTTCATCCAGTACCTTCTACAATTTCCATCTGCCCATTAGAAGTAGAGAGCTGGACTTTCACATAAACCAGTGAATAAGAGGGCTGGTGTCCTTTAAGTCTCATTTTTCAAAGCAGGAACTGTCTGTTGAGTGTGAGGGGGGGATGGTACATCAGTCCAGTTCCCTTATTGGAAGCCATAACTGTTTGGACCCCATAGCTCTTCTTTTTTTTCAGCTAAGAATAAGCCTTTGAATCACCCAGAAGGGATCAAAAAAGGAGTCCATTCAGTGAGAGGGCTGACATCAGCTCTTCACAAAGAAGCTGAATAGTCTTGTGACAGAAATTAAATGCACTCTTTTGTGCAGAGTTGTCATGTATTAATTTTCCACTGAAAATCTGATAGCAAGAGATGTGAAACACGTGTTTGATTTGCTTGCTTTCCCCAGATGCTTCAGTGGTGGGACAGAAGAGCAATGTGATCCTGTGTTGGAGAGTGAAGCAAAGAAAAACACAGCATGTGGCATGATCACAGACCCAACAGGTAGTGTGTTGGTAGATGTCTGTGAGCCATGTGATGGAGCATGCTCTAGCTTGTTTTGTTCCTTCTTTATAGTCTCTTTTTCTGAGCTCATATTGGAAGTATATAAAGCCTCCAGTGTGAATATCCAATGTAAAACCCATAGGTGCCTGGCCAGAATATGTCATCTGTTCAGACAATGCCAATGTATCCATGAATTTTATCTGAGAACATGTGCAGTGAACCATAGCTGCTCTTTGTGTTACAGTGACTTGTACTCTGCTTGCTAAAAGAAGCAGTTCAGACAGACTGTGTGTGTATTACTTTATGTGAAATTCTATACATGTTCCCTGTAGTTGTCTAGAATTAGTGTTTTTCCTAGCCAGCAATGGTTAATTTATGTAAGTTATGTTGTATCAATCATGCAAAAAGAGGAGAACCTGATCCACAGAGACCATTCTCATATTGTGCATTGTGTAACCATTTCAATTACTGGATTAACTTAGTTAACACAACCTGGAGCACCCACAATGTGTTTGCTGTGACAGAAAATACAGGATGGTCAGTCTTAACATTCCAGTGTGTTTTTTCTATCCTTCTGTATATATTCCTTGATTTACACAGGAATCTTCAAGGACTGTCACACGAAGGTGCCTCCACAGAATTTCTTTGAAAACTGTCTTTATGACATGTGTTTCACTGGGGGACAGGCAACATCCTTATGCTATGGACTCCAGGCCTATGCTGAGTCGTGTGTCAATGCTGGGATATGCATAGAATGGAGGAATGCTACTCTTTGCCGTGAGTGTTTTGACATAAATACCTATTCTGAATTTTATCTTCATTGTCCTCTACATTTCCATACATGTTATTTCATTTTATGTAATGTTCTGAGTATAGTCTGTCTTTTATAATGTCTTGAGCCTGCTTCAGATTCAGGACCATTCCAGGATTTGTATAAACCACTAGTTACAAAAACATGCAGATTAAATCCTTAAAGTTTTATAATATTTATAATTTGCTATTAGTTTCTTAGAAAAGTCTGATTATGTTCAACTGTGTCTTATGTGAGCTTCTGCATTGGACAAATAAGTTCTTTTGCTTCAATGAAAATCTACCATCCTCAATGTAAGTGGAGCTGGTAGTCCTCCATAAAACATGTTTATCCATGGCCTTTGGTTAATAAAATCAGAGACCTTGAAAAGCTGATGTTTCTAGGAAGTGCTCTATTTCTCTCTAAAGCAAAGAAATTGAGTACTGTCATGTATATTTCAATTAATTCTCTTCAGAATGACCCTATGGCAAATTTAATATAATGAACTCATATTTCTTAGAATAAAGCTTTCCAAAGGTTCCACTTGTGCTTATTTTAGGCAATACTGGACAGCTTTCTGCTTGTCAGACATACAATCGTAGAATCATAGAATGGTTTGGGTTGGAAAGGACGTTAAATATAATCTAGCTCCAACCCTCCTGCCATGGGCAGGGATGCCCTCCATTAAAACAGCTTTCTCAAAAGACCATCCAGCCTGGTCTTGAATAATTTCAGGAAGGGGGCATCCACAACTTCTCTGGGAAGCATTTTCTAAAGGACATTTAGGTCCACAAACTACATACCTGGAGAGGAAAAAAAGTCCTCCTAAGATCAAGCATAAATAAAATTAAATAAACCATAATTGTTTTCCATGCTTTTTTTTGTCTTACAATGATTTTTATTATAACATGTACTACTGGATTACCTTCTTCAGATCTGCACCTTTTTTCTTTTTCTTTTTGTTCTTTTTTTGATGTGATCAACGATTAGCTCTGCATTTAAACTAAACCATGACAAAAATGGGCAGGTTCTAGGAACTGGTTGGAAAAAGAACTACTGTGATAAAGCACCCAGTAAGTCAGCCCTGAGAGAACAGAGCACAGAGAATTCTTATATAAAAAGAAGATAGAACAAGAAATGAGTGTCTAAGCCTCCAAATCAGATTAAAGACATGGACATCCAGACTCCGTAGTCTGAGGCTATAGGCCAGGACCTAAATACCTATGGCTTCATTATAGTAATAGAGAAAAGTCAGTAACATTAGAAAGATTGACTCTCAAGTGCTCCCTTCATCAGTGATTCAAATAAAAAACTCAAGTAAGGTCCTGACCAAGTGAAGGAAGTCTGGCTAGATACTGGAGATGTCAGATGTAGTTATCTGACAGGAATAAGAGATCCTATTGTGGGGACAGAAATAAATGAGAATCATATGTAGTGCTTTATAATATAATCCAGCCAAATACATGTTTTTCTGTGATTTTTTAGATGACAGAAATGGACAAATGCTTTGGGATTTCTGTAAAATGTAATGTTATCCCTGGAAACCATGTTTTGAGTGATAGAAGCCCAATTCTACCATCAGCAGGAGGGATGTGAAAGTATATTGTTCTCAAGGAGTCTCAGTGAAAGACAGACTGTGATTTTTAGTTCTATTTTGGAATATTTAACAGATGCTCAAGTAGGAACTACAGTAATGGGGATATACCAGCTGGTATGGCAAAAGATTCTTCCCATAACTGGGTCACTTTATGGCTTTAAATCAGAAGAAAAAGACTTGTACTCAGCACTCTCCTGTCAGACTTCCTAACAGCCATTTTGTATATTTTCAGGACCAAACAGGAAAAGCATCAGGAAAACCTTTATTATGATTTTGCCCTTTGGAGTAATCTTTTTTTTCAATTTATTTAGCAATGTCCTGTCCTGGAGGAAGCATCTACAAGAGCTGTGGTACTAGGTGTCCTTCTACCTGTTTGAACATCTCAGAAGTTGATTCCTGCAGTCCTTTGCCAGTGGAAGGTTGCTTCTGTAAGGAAGGCTATGTTTTGAGTGGAGACACATGTGTTCCAGAAAGCAACTGTGGTTGTGTTGATGAAAACAACCAGTATCACCAGGCAAGTAACATCAGACATTTAAAGGAAAAATAAAAAAGGAAAAACCCAAAACAGGGAATCTCATTCTTTATCACTGTGAGGGAAAAAACATGTTAATAACAGTACAAAATTCATATTTACACCATCAATAATTTCAAAATAGACTTGTTTTGCCAGCTTTCTTGGTCCATGAGTTGTGTGGCTAGAATTGCCCAAATGATTATACATCATGCACATTCAAATACTAATAATTTTATTTTTCCCTTATGGTTTTACCTTCCTATTTATCTTATAATATATACTTCTACACTCTTTTTTTCCATGTAGCTGAATGAAAGCTGGTTCACTCATTACCCCTGCACTGAGCGCTGCACCTGCAAGGCAAATAGCATCATTGAGTGCCAGGCTTGGGAGTGCGGAGTCCAAGAGGAGTGCAGTATTCAGGATGGTGTGCTGGGCTGTCATTCCAATGGTGAGTCCTGCCTGAAAATCATCCCAATGTCAATTCCACAATTAGATCCTCTTCTTCTTCTTCTAGCTTTATTATAAATATCTTTTCATATGGGATAGCAAAGAAGTCCCAACTGCTGGCAGTGCTAAGAGATAAAAAAGCAGGATGTTCTGTCTTGCAAGCACAGATGCCCTCCTGTTGTAGTGGATAGCAGCAAAAACTGATGCTGCCTAAAATTTTGCAAGGTTGCTTGGATTCTATTTGTCCTGATAATGAATATTCAACACCCACATCACCAGTGCTGAAAGCTTTAAATTTGGCTGCATTTCTGTGAGAATTGTATTTCTGTGGGCCTGCGTAATGGCAAGTGCCTTATGTATTGGTGTCTATAGATGCAACTTTATTTACTTTTACATTTACATCTACATTTATACAAGTAATTATGTATTTTGATATAGATCAGTAGTAAAGCTTTGTATTGCTCTCAGCTATACAATAAATCATAGCTACAACAGCATATAGAAATGTATACAAAAGTTTATTTTGCATATAATTTGCAAATAAAATTTAAGAGATACTTTCTGGAAACTTATTTACAAATAAATGTCATTGGCATGAACCTGAGTTGCCTCTCTGAAAGTTTGCCCACATAATAATGATCAGGATGTGGTTGTTACACTAATACAAACTGTTTTGGCCAGCTGAGTCCATGGTGAAATCCAGTGCAAAATTCTTAGATCATTTTTTTTTCGCCTTCAGGCCAAGCAACATGTCAAGTGGTAGGAGATCCCCATTATTTTACTTTTGATGGAATGAAGTACACTTTTGTGGGAACCTGCACCTACACTTTGGTTGAGGTTGTTAACACTGCCACCAATGTCATTCCTATAACCATACTTGGCAAGAATGAAGACAGAGGACTAAGAGGGGCCACATACCTGAAAGAAGTCTACATAGATGTGCATGGTGTACGAATCACCCTTCAGAAAAACCAAGGAATCCTGGTAGGTGGTGGTACTCTTTTTTCTGGCAAGAAGTATCTTAAAATTAGCTCACTTAGAATAGCTAAGAGTAGCTGATTTCCTAAATAGGAAAAAGGATCTTCATATTTCCTAAGGAACATGTATGCATATGCGTAACACTTGTGTGCACTGCCATTAAGTGGATGTCATAAGGAAATATAATTTATCACTTGTTCTCAAGGCTTCTAGTTTGGGTTTCCTGTTTAATTGCCCGTATTTTAGAGATTAAACACAGAGTCTCCAGAGTGGGGAATTGGTGCCTGAATTAAAATATGGGACTCCCCATTTCAACAGCTTTTATCAATGCAGTCACCTATAGCAAGCAAGGCATAATGTATCAGCCTAGAATAACATGGCAGTACTGGAGGCAGGGAATCTACCCCATGAGTGAGAAAGAGCTTGCTCACTACCAGAGATGAATCCTGCCCAGCCCTCCTCAGCTAAGAGGCTGATTCCTGAAACTGATAGTTGGAACATGCAGTGGTGGAAGTATAAAGAGCTAAAGTGGTCACAGAGAAATCTTCAGCACTACTAGGAATAGTGATTGTGGGCTTTCATGGAAGAATATACATACTGACAAATGACATGTCTCTCCAGCTGAACAATGAGAGAGTCTACACTCCAGTACAGAAACAGCTGCAAGGCGTGTCCATTGGAAATGTTGGCAGATTTATAGTAGTGGAAACTGACTTTGGTGTGATAGTGAAATATGATGGCAATCACCATTTGGAGATCACCCTCCCACGCTCTTACTTCTCACAGGTAAGATTTAGCATACAAACATCTGGAGTTGTTTCAAAGCTGCTGCCTTGTCCATTTACCTCTAGCTCTTTTTATTCCTGTGTTTTGCTGTTGCATCTTTCTTTGTAGCTGTATTGTAATACATGTAATTTTTTTCCCTTTATATCTTTTTCTCTTCACAACAGTTTCTTTGTGTTCCAAGAGAGTAGTTAAGGAAAATTACTTATCTAGGGAAATACTTCTTACTTAGAGAAATAAACAGCTTGAAGCCTTAGGGAATCACTGATTTACTGTATTTTCTGTTTTGTTTCTCCATGGGTGCAGTAAGAATGTCTCAAATGTCTGGTACAGGACTGGTTGGTGGTGGTGATTTGGTCACATTATTTCATAGGCAATGAATAAGAAGTTATTGGGGAAGTTGATGAAAAGAGGTCATGCTTAGAATATGGTTCTTTTCCATCTGCAGGTGCATGGCATGTGTGGCAATTTCAATGGTAATCATGAAGATGATCTGTCCTTGACCAATGGTACAGTTGTCACTGCCCCACAGTTTGGAAATAGCTGGGAAGTGGAGAAAGACAGTGATAAAGGGTAAATGTTAAATAATTTTCATACGTCTCATCTTACTTCAGGAACACAGTGAATTGTTTTCAATTGTTTTGACACAGTTCAGGTCACTATACAGAAATTTGCAATGAGACAGATCCAAGGTCAAGCTGTGAAGTCAATCCTCTAGTCAGAGTCAAGTTCAATGACAGTAACAGGTGTCAGACACAGCATGGTGGTTGTCAGGCAGGTCTGCTTCTGCTCAGTCTTTCATCCATTGACAGAAGGAAATCATAGCCTCCAGCCTTTTCTACTTTTCAGTGGAAATAAACTTTTCTGTTTCAGTCTGTCTTACAGCAGCTTGTGTCTGTGTTTTCCTGCAGTTGTTTGCCAGACTTGAGAGAAGAAGATGATCCTCCTTGCACTGCTGAGAATAAACAACTCATTGAAAGACAGTGCAATGTTCTAAAATCAGACAAATTCAAAGTATGCCATAGTCTAGTCAATCCTGATGACTTCATAGAGATCTGCATCTATGATATGTGCCAGTATGATGGTATGAAGTCTGCTCTCTGTGACATAGTTCAAGTCTATGTGGACACCTGCAAGAATCATGGAATCATCATTAAATGGAGGAATAGCACATTCTGTCGTAAGTAAACAAGCAAGTAAAAAAAATGAAACCTCAATGGCTGACAGCATGCAAAAATTAGCAGAGTTAGGTGAACAAGTTATGTAAAAGAAAATGAAATCTAAGTTCTTACAAAATGCAATTCTACTGTCATGATTCCATTGCTACACTGAACTGCATTTGCATTCAGAAAAACACAGAGATAACTCAGAGCTAGACAACTTATGGATATTATGTGGAATTAGAATGGCATTGGTAGCCAAATGAGATACTGTACTGAGCCTAAAATGTAGAAATAATATAACCAGAAGACTAAAAGAAAGATACTGTGTTAGGGCACGTTATTATCAAATCACTCACTGTGACTTGAACAAAAACTGACAATTTGCCCAGTTGTTTATTATGGACCCTGTTCTCAGATTAATCTCCAGGGTATGTGCTTCACTCCATCCTTTCAACAAAGCTACAAACAAATTATGCAAAAATTACTAAAGATCATGTAGTAGGGTTTTATTTGTGTGGTGTTTTTTACTATTTAGTGTTATACCCTGGGTATATATTTTACTATTTAGTATTATACCCTGGGATTGTCACATAATGTTGTGGAGGACAAAACAGTTAACTGGTTAAAAACCAGGTCAGATGAATGTTTAATAGATCCATCAGAAATCTCTAGCTTCCTCCTTGCCATGAGTGGAGAAAAATACTGGACTAACAAAGCTTTTGTCATGTTACACTGTTTATTGGACCGTCCTGTTAAGCATGTCTAGTCATTGGCATAAATAGGGTTTAGAGCTAGATGAACCTGCAGTCTGACAATGTGTATCTACTGCTCTTGCATGTCTGTAGTTAAGCTTAATTTACAATTGGTTTGCATCAATGGAGGGTTGAATATTTTAAGGAATTTGCCTATGAGAGTCTCATTTCTAGCAGCACCTTTGCAGCTGAACTGGAGTACTGAATCTGGCAATCAGGTGAATCAGGTGGTTCATACCTGTAATAAAACTGAATAAGCAGTTCCAGAGAGCATTCTTTGTTTTGTTTCTCATTGGATTTTTTTAAAAGTAAAATATAAAAATAGAAACCAGCTGATGATCAAAATCAGCTATTAAAAGGCAGTTCTGTATTACATTCCCTAGGCCAAGGTGTAGCTTTCAGGGTTTGCAGTGCACTTTGTAAATGTATTTAATAATGCTGGCTCTGTTCTCCCACACAGCACTGCCCTGCCCATCCTGGAGCCACTACAAAGACTGTGTCTCTGCCTGCCCATCAACATGCAGTGACATTTTTGCCTCTTCCCTTTGTGAGAAGACAGAAGAGTGCACAGAGGGCTGTGAATGTGATGATAATTATGTGCTCAGCAATGGCAACTGTGTGCCCCTCAGCAGTTGTGGCTGCAGGGATGATGACAACAATTACTATGAAGTAAGTAGTTTGTGAAGCAAATCTCTGACTTCAAAACTTGTAGAAAATTGGTCTCCTGTCCATCTTAATGTGAAAGAGAGAGACATCAAATACTTCAGGATCTACCTCTTAAATACCTTTGTAAAAGCTGCTGCCTTGGGTATTAGGAAATACAGAAGCTCACTTGGTACTTTGCACCTGAGGCCAAAACTGAGGCCTATTTTAAAACAGGCAATTGATCAGAATTATTCAGGCAGTCTGTCCTAGTCTGGTTTTGTGTTCAAATTCTCATGTTGGAGACAGTAAGATAAATGGACTGAGATCCCCTCTCACAGGCTCTTGGTGAGACTACACTTAATCAATCAGTTGTATAATTGCCAACTGGACAAGGCTGTACCTAGCTAGTGTCCACACCCGTGGCTATTGAACTTCCATTGCACTGCAAAGCTTGGACCCTTGATAACATATTATTAACACAACTTGTGTCCAGGCTGGGGAGACATGGATAACTCCACACTGCACCAGAAGATGCCAGTGCCAGAAGAACGGTGTCATCAGTTGCAAGAGCTATAGCTGTGATTCTAGAGAAACCTGTGTGATCAAAGATGGAAAACACAAGTGCAATCCAACAGGTATGTGCAAGAAATTCTTCACTTGTGGTTCACTTGAGGGCCGCAGAAGGGGGAAGGATGTGAGTGTACATACTTTTCTTCATGGCAATTCCATTCTTTCACAGCAAAAGAAAGCAACTCTTACTGTTTTGTTGACAACATGTTATTGAATACAAAAAGGCCTCAGTTCTCATAACAGAAGGTTCCTAATCCATGCAGAGAATTTGTAGAGGGAAATGGATACCTGGGTATAATTTACTTATATCTAGAAATTTGACAGCTCAGTCTGACTAGTTTGAATAAAATTTCTTTTACAAAATTCCCACTGCATCTACTGAACCCAAAACTCAGTTTGTGAATCCTATCACAATGGCCCTGTTTTTTCCACTGCACGTTGATTTGAGAACAGAAAAAAAAACCAAAACCAAAAACCAATAAGCAAAACCAGGACAGTGCAGATCTGGATAGATACATGATAGGCCAGTCAGAGGACTTTGGTGCTTTTCATTCAACATTTGTTGTAGGCAAAGTTAATCCCATATTCTCTAGGTAGGTTGGGTGGATTAGGAGAGAGCATAGCATACTACAGTTCAATTTTGAAGAATAGCATGGCATCAGTCCTGTATTAGGGATCAATAGAAAAGCACAGGCAAATACATCCCTGCTACATTTTGGCAAAATGTATGAGCAGAGGCACCTCAGCAGTTTTAAGGATAGCCTTCCTATGCCTTACTCCTGGCATAATGGTTTACTCTGTGTCCAGTGGTCAAGGAGAACCTTGATAGATGATAGTCACTTTATCTGATTGTTAGGTCTGGTAAACCAAATGATCAGTTTAGTAACCTCAGCAGAAATTAGTGACAGCATTGAGTCAGCCAAAATTAAACACTGCTTTTCAGTTTTGTAGCAACATATGGCTGAGGTTATGAAAGCAACATCTCTTAGAAGGCCACTTCAAACCATGCTTGTGTCAGAGTCATTCCTGTGTAGAGGGCCACTGTGCACAACTTACTCTCAATAAATTCTATAAACTCTGATGTTCTGCTTCAGCTCAGTTGGCACGCAGTGGTTCTCAGCAGAGGAATGAATTTCTCTGTCTATCTCTCCCTTTGAGTGTCCATTCACTAGAGTGAAGCCTGAGCACCCATCTTTACTTCCAAACCTGCAGGCTAGCAGCAATCATTTTTATCTAACAGTTTGGACCAATCCAGCCATGGCATCTGGCACATGCCCATTTAGACTGGAGAGTAATGAAGCTCTTCCCTTGCAGGTTTTGGGAGATGCCAGGTCATGGGTGACCCACACTACATCACCTTTGACGGGCTGGTGCACCACTTTCAAGGGAAATACACATATATTCTGGCTCAGACCATCCCTGACCTACCTGACACTCTGACACAGTTCAGCATTGAAGGCATGAACTATCCTTTACGTGGAAGTCGACACATTACTTACCTGAAAGAGATGCTCATCAATGTTTACAACCACACAGTGCGATTCAGGCAGAACAAGCAGGTTCTGGTAAGTCCCTCCCTGACTGCAGAGCACAGAGGAATGCCCTCCCTTGGAGTAAAACACCTTTGAGTAATGCACCTATATTTTTAAGAATTAAAGTATTAAAGTGAACTGTATTATTACAGCAGTGATGTGAGGCAACCGTAAATGAGATTTTCAGTTGCATGGAGTCTTTTTTCTCCATAGCTATGAAAGATACGATTCTACATCAAACAAACAAATTAATAAATATAGTTTTAGCAATGAAACCCCAAATATCCCAAGGCTTACAATAAAGCCACAACAATTTTTATCAGTGGTAAGGAAAGCTTTGTTTATGCTACGATATTTTAATTTCCTTCCTCTTTATTGGTGTGTAAGAGCATACATAGCTGCTATATTACATTTTTAGCTCAATAATAGAAATTTCTTTGGATAATATGAAAGTCCTGTATCCAATTCAGTTTCCTCAATACATTATTTTGTTAACTTAAAAAAATAAATGCTGTTAAATTATCTAATATATTTATCATAAAACCAGAGAAGTATTGGATTGTAGCATTGACCTGTACTGTAAACAGAATTTAATTTGACCTATATATAATGAATTTTAATTTTTTCATTCCTTGTTAGTTGGATGGTGTGAGGGTGAGGCCCCCTGTTCGACCCCATGAAGGTATTCGTATATATCAGAGGGCAAGAAGAATTTACCTGGAGACAGATTTTGGCTTATACCTGAGCTTTGATGGCAATCAAAATGCAGGTAAGTGATACTAAAAAACTGTGCAGAAATATTTATGCACTGCCCTCAAAAATGTTCTCATTCTGGAGGAGGTCTAAACCCAAGGCAAAATTTGAAATCTCCACCCTTCGTGCTTATGGTCCTTTGTGATATAAAATACCAGAAAATAACCAGAAAATACTAGAAAGAAGTGTTTCCCAGGAAAATAAATTCAGTAGGGTCCACTTTTCTCTATGTGGACCCCACTGAATTTAGGAGAAATGAGATACAGAGTCAGACTGTTGTGCATTTTTTTCATGTTAAATAATGTCTGAATGATAAAAACAAAAGCAAATCACTTGAAATTGTTAATTGGGATGATGGGACAAAATCTGGATCTGCCCCTTTGCCAGCTGAATCCAGTCACAGGAGTCATAGGACTGAGATCCTCAAGCACTCTGTGGGTGTATCATTTTGCATGCTTCCTCTCAAGCCTACCCCAGATAACCCCATTCTTTAGTCTTTGTCAGGACTTTCACATGGCATACACAGAAACCACTCATGTAAGATCGACACATAATATCTCCTCTGTTCAAATTAGCTCAGAATTACTCCTGATATATATCAGCATAAATCTATACTATTTCTGAGTGCATGGTGAAAGTGCCAGGCTATTTATTTACATGGCCATCATTCCAAACCCTGAAATTCCAACTGCAGAAAGCAAATGTCTGTCTACAGAAATCCCATTTCTCAGTGATCAAGTGGATTATAAGGGAAGGACAAAAAACGGGTGATGCATTCCATTTGTTGCAAAGCAGTAAGCAGCATGCACTAAGAGCACCTAGGCAGTGATATCTCGTTATATAAAAACTTGTGACAAATTACTTTTTTCATGATCCACATTACAGAGCATGAAAGTGTGAATACATGTATGAATAGGTATGTTCAGGGCTGTGCTCTTATGCTGTGTATTAAGCCCATGTCACATTACCACCTGCAATCTGAATCATGGCATGTGCCACTTGGCATTGATTTCCACCTCTTCCATACACTCAGTGGCAACAATTTCTGTGTAATAGCTCTTTTTCCTTCTGACTTTGTCTAGACATAAAGCTGGCTACCTCCTACAGAAACAGAGTGGAAGGCTTGTGTGGTGACTTTGATGGGATACACAGAAATGATTTCACCAATCCAGATGGTGTTTGGGTGAGGAACGTGAATGTATTTGGTGAAAGTTGGAAAGTTCCTCTGAAAAGAAGCTCTCGTCTCAGGTACTTGATTTTCTATTTAATCCACAGCAAGCACTGCCACTAGAAGTGAGTGAATTAAGTCATAGTTAACTTCTAGGAATAACTACACTGTCTCATTTCTGTCTTACCTTTCTTCTTCTCATTTACAGACGAGATGTCATCTCAGAAAATGAGTCTGAGGAGGAACCAGATCCAGGGCTTTTCCAAGGCTGCAACGAAAATCAGCTGGAGCAGCAAAACACAACTACAAGGTGTCAAATCCTGACTGACTTGAATGGTCCTTTTGCCAAGTGTCATTCTGCAGTCCAACCAGATTTCTATTTCACGTAAGTGTCTACTGCAGACAGTTGCTCTCCCAGTTTGCAAAATCATTTTGGCAATAGTTTCTGACAAGATCTTCAGTCATCTGGAGTCTCCAAGGTATTAATAGGAGCTGAAGATAGTGTAATTTATTTTTAAACAGTCGTGATTATCTTTCTTTCATCTATTCAGCGTTTCACTTCTCTGCTAGCTCTACAAAACAGCTTTCCTCTTTCCCCACACAAATAAAGCAGCAGTGTTAAGTATTATCCCTATAGCCTGGAATTTCCAATGTGCTTACAGTTCTCATCCACATTCAGTGAGAATGTAGCACCTGGGTCTGCTGGATAGCAGTTCTAGCTTCATAAAATATTTATCACGCCATAGCCAAAGGCTGAAGCTACAGTGAAACTTTCTGAAATTTTTATGGAGATGTACAATAACCAGATTAGTGAAGAGTAACTCATTCCCTCTGCTGTGTTTCAAGGTTGCTCTGCCTCCTACATGTACAATTCTAATAACTAATTCCAAGCTGTATTCATCCCCACATTCATCTTTCATCCTTCATCCACCATCAGTCACAGATTTGGCAAATAGCTGCCAGTTTTCTTTAGTTACATAGTTATGCCTAATGTTTAAAGACAGATAATGCCCACCCCAAAGTCCCTATTATCAGAGAGAAGAATTTTAGCAGTATCTTAAGCCAAATAAAGTGGACCACTGACTTCAATGTGTATACATATATCTATATCTATAGATTATATATAGAGTATATAGATATAGATATATAGATAGAGATGATTAGATATAGATATAAATAGATATAGATAAATCTCCTGATTCTTAACATCAGACTACTTTTCTCCACGGTCTAGAATTTGGTTGGGCAGCCTGTTCTACCTGCTCAGTGGTTGCCCTGATTTTTCTGAGGTGCTGCATATTTGCAGATTCCATTCATCTTGGATCTCAATGCCTCTGAAAGTCAGGCCATGAATACTCAAATGATAAGCAAAACTGAGAAGACTGGATAAAAACACTGGATAAAACAGAATTCTATGTCAACATTCAAGGCACATGGACATGAGGAGGGTACCCATGTACTGAAAGTAGTGAATAGTTCAGCTGTAGCACTTAGCAGCATGAAAAAGTGTTCTATAAGCAAGATTTATTCTGAAACAGAAGCAGAGAGCAAGGAAGAACTTACTGTGTTAAGGTAACACTTTATTGCTTAGTCCAAGGGAGGCTTAGATTGCTTAGGAGGAAAATTTTATGTATAGGGCCATAGTTTAGTGGTGGACCTGGCAGAGTTAGGTTAAAGGCTGGGCTCAATGATCTTAGAGGCCTTTTCCAGCTTTAATGATGCTATGATCCTATATGGACACCTCATAGAGCAGCAGCAGCTGCACAACGAATGACCTAATCTTCCCAACCAAGTGCTTGGAGTGTCTTTTATTCCTCTGTTTCCTGTCAGCCAGATCCTGGAAAACAAAACTAGGAGTCAGGCAGACAAGCAGATGAAAACAACCAATAGCATATGTACTGGGAATTAATGTTTTCTCATGTTGCACATAGGAGCTGCCTGTTTGATATGTGTGTGGAAGAAGATGAAGTTGCTACCTTGTGTCGCAGTCTGGAGGAATATGTGCTGGCTTGTCAGCAGCAAGGAGTCAGCATGGATGGCTGGAGGCAACAGACAGACTGTGGTAAGCACAGGAAGAAACACAAAGTAGGAATTCTACCTACAGGACTCTTAAAATCTGAAATTTGAGCCTTTTCCTATATCAGATCTTCCCAGAGAGTAAAAACATTTTGATTCACACTTCACTCACTCTTCACAATTAAGCACACTTGTTTTTCTGGCTTCTCTTCTGTGTCCTATGCTGACTTTTGCATTTAAACCCCAGCTTCGAGAGATACTTAGGAAATCAGAGCTATCAGCTCCTTGTCATTAGAAGTTTTGTGAGTGAAAAGGTGTCCCCATTCCCAATGGGACAAAAAGTTTAAATTTTTGAGACCATCACAAGCTACAAATCTGAAGGCAAAGCATTTAATTTCAAACTCTCTTTAAATCCACAAAATATACTAATTACCTCTTTTGCCTGTGAAATTTCAAGATTAAAAAATAGATTCAACTGAACACTCAAAACTTTTCAGACTAAAACTGCTGAAATAAGACTTACAATCATCTCAAACGTATTTTTCATCTTTTTAAGTTTGGAGTTCATCAAACCATATTTTCCCTGTGTCTGCTATGGTTAGATGAGTTCGTATTTCTGGCAAAATAGCTCCCAAAGCTGTGGAACAGCTCTGGCACTTGAAGGGCTGGCAACCCTGAACATGTATAAACCTGAACCCTTTATATGAACCAGTGTATACCTGGAATGAGAGAACAGTATACAAATAGCTTTGATGATGCATTTCCTGACTTTGGAGTGCTTTACTTACAACTTCAATACTATAATATATGTACGCACATCTGTGTGTGCGTGTATTTATCATATTGCCTCCTAGAAAATGGATCAGAAAGGGAATTCTGTAAGTAAGTAACACACAGCAGCCTGGTATAACTGGACTCCTTATTTTTACAGGCATATCATGTCCTGCCAACAGCAAGTACAGCTCATGCATGTCTGCATGCCCAGCATCCTGCAACGACCTGACCAGCCCCTCTCAGTGTGAATCACCCTGTGTTGAAGGCTGTGAATGTCTCCCTGGTTATGTTCTTAGTGGCTTTGACTGTGTGCCTTACAAACAGTGTGGCTGCACATACCTCAACAAATACTATGAGGTACAGTCTCCCTGTGGCTCAGAAAGCTCCCACAGCATTAAACAGTATTTTCTCTTGTTAGTTATTTTGACCATCTCCTCATAATCCTCAGCATGTTGTTTTGCAGTAGAAACATTAGAAACAAAGAGCAATTGTTTAATAAAATTCTGGTTTCTGGAGAAAGGGAAGAAAGGTCAAGATCTCTTGGTCTCCCTCTGCCTGCCAGTCCAAGGCAGACACTTGAAGAAATTATGTGATTAAATTTATGCTAATTCTTGACCTTTATTACACTCATAGACTCTAAACTTTACAACACACCAGTTACAGAAAAATTGGCTTTGCTCCTCTCAATGAAGAGAGGTTTAGGCAGGGTTGAGAGTCTGTAGAGATGGGTAGGACATGAAGAGAGCCCTGAGCAAAGCTGGATTCTGAGGAGAATCCTCCATTGTCACTGCAGGATAGAACAGCTCCATTATCTCACAGAATTCTGGTTAACCACTAGAGATTTGTTACAAAAAAGGCCTAAACCAGTAAAGATTTACTATTAACAGGTGGCACTTTTAAGAAAAATGGCAGATAGCATTTCCACATTGCCTTGGAGGTAGGATGTGGTTCATCTGCCACTCATCTCCAGCAACAGTTTCCCATTTTGGGTTGCACATGTACCCTGCCTAGGGCTAGGATCTCATGCCCCAAACTCTTCTTTTGCTTTCTTTCTTTGGCCATCCTCTAGTTTCAAAGAACTGCATTAGTAAGCTGTTTGCTTTCTTTTTGTTTTACAAACTAGTTTAAAAACCCCAATCTTCCCTATTGCCATTCATCAGGAAAGCATTGGAGAGAGCATAATGAGGGTTCCAGTGCTACATTAATGGTTTTTTTCTGGCTGATTCTTTATTAGATAATTTTTAACATCTATCTCCTGTTCTTCCAGATTGGAGAAATATTCACCACTGATGACTGCTCTCAGAGATGCCAGTGCACAGAAAGTTCCACTGTTTTCTGCTCTGAGATAGTGTGTGGGTTTGGTGAAATCTGTGGCATTTCAAACTACAGTCATGGCTGCTACAGGAGTGAGTCAACCACTATCATATTGTCTTTGATGCTATGAAGTCTTGACTAACTTCAAAAGACATCACTGGGTTAGGGATAGTTGCAGGAGAGAGTGTGCAGCAGAAAACTGTGGAGACAGGTGAGCCTGCCAAGGCTTTCCCTTGGAGGAATGTGCACTAAAGGAGCTGTGATAAGCTTATCTCAACCCCTCAGGGCACATTCTTCCAAGGGAAAGCCTTGGCAGGCTCACCTGCCTTCACAGGAAACCATGCAAGGGATCTTACTCTGATGTTTCACTGGAGAAACAGTATTTATTTCCCTTATTCTTGTTGTCAGACACAAGAAACATGCTAAAATACAAGGGACGGGCAGCATTAGGAGTCAGCATAATCTAAGCAAGAACAATTCTCTTCCAACCTTCCAGGGCTGGATTATCTGAGAGTCAAGTGTTTCTCCTTTTTTTCCCAGGTGGCCCATGTATGCCAAATCCTTGTAAGAATGATGGCATTTGCTCTGAAACTTCCAACAGCACCTCTCTCCACTTCTGTGAATGTTCAGAACTCTACACAGGACCAAACTGTGAGGCTGAAAAAATAGGTAATAAAACTATTCTGGATTTCCCTGTCTGCATTAAACACGATGTTTTAAAAAATGTATGTTGTTATTGAGAAGACTGGGCTTGCTTTTCATTTTCATGATGTAAGTTAGTAACCCAGTGGGTGAGAGCCTGTGGTCATCCAAGCAGTGAGAAGGGTCAGAATTCCAGTGGAGAGGTACCAGAAAGCAGGACAGCAGGGCTTGGTACAGCACAGGACCTGGGTCTGACACCATTCCAGAAAGCCACAGAGAACACAGTAAAACCAAAAAGACATGCAAGGGTGGAGAAAAAACATTTATGTTCACAGCACAGTTAGCTTCCAGTGACAGGGCTTTTGTTTGTTCTTCAGCTGAAGATCCTGACACAGAGGATTCGGGTCACACAATTGCCATCGTCATTGCAGTTGTAGCAGGTGTAGCTGTTATTGTCATTCTCATCTCTTCTACAGTGTTTCTGTTCAGGTAAGGCTTTTCTCAGCTTTACTACACTCAGCAAATTAAAGACAACCTCTTTTAGCACCTGTAAACCTCAAAATTCCCAGCAGTCATATACCTGCAATACCAGAAAGGAGCCACAGCACTGGGGATCTCTCCTGAGGAAAGTGAGAGAAAACTTACCTTTTTTTTTGTTAATCAAGAATGAACACATGCCATTTCTTTTACATAGGGCATATGTGTCACTTATCATAAGACTCCAGCTTCTCCAAAATCCAGTTCCATTCATGCTCACAGCACTGTATGATCTCTCACTATAAATAAGAATGGAAATTAAAATTTATTATTCCTTTTTTTTTCCCCCTTCATTGTACAGAAGGAAGAGAAAGGTGGATACAGTTACAATAACAAGGGATTCTTCTTTGAAATGGTCCAGGGATGAATTGGATGCCAGAGTACGTGAGCAAGATTATGGCTGCATCGTGAACAGTGCATTTGATCAAAATGAATCCCCAAATACACACCTATAGTTAACAATATTATTATTTGTCATACTTTTTACTCTTGTATTTTAATTGTATTTCTAATACTTTGAGAAGAAAGTATTGAGAAGATAAATAATAAATTTGTCATTGCATTTGTTGAAAAGCTTTGAAATTGTTCATTTAAAATGTCTCTCAGATCTCATGTTGTAGACCCAAACTGAAATGTGTTCTAATTGACAGAAGAGACTCTGTTGTCTTCAAAGGATGTTTGAAAAACACAAATTCCACACAGACCTTGATGGCACAAGTGGGCTGCACAGCATCACATACACACCTCTGAGAGATGCACAAACCGTAGATTGATGTGAATTCTGTGATGGTCAGAATTCAAACTGAAAGATAGTAAGTTAAGGTTAGAAGTCAGAAAGTAGGTTTAGGCTAGATTTTAGAAAGAAATGCCTTACTATGAGGGCAGTGAGTCACTGGAATGGGTTATCCAGAGAAGCTGTGGATGCCTTGTCCCTGAAAGCGTTCAGGGCCAGGTTGGATGGAGCTTTGAGCAACCTGGTCTAATGAAAGGTGTCCCTGCCCATGGCAGGAGATTAGAACTGGATGATCTTAAGGTTCCTTTCAACCCAAACCATTCTATGATTCTACAAACTAGTTATAGCATCCCAGGCAGGTCTTCATGAGATCTTACCCAAATCTTTCCATGGGGAGGGGATTAGTTGACTGACATGGACACAGTTCTTTACCCATCTTCTGGCAAGACATGTACAACTGGGAAGAGAAGGAAACAAGACACTGAGCTCACCTGAGGACAGATGTAATAAAAAAAGGATGACCCCCATTATTCCCTTAGAGTGGAGGGGACAAGAAGCAGGCTTGTCATCAGTCCCCCAAACTGTGGGGGCTAAGCAAGTGCATAACAAAAACTTTCAGCAGAATAAGATCACATCATAAACTCTCCTTGGGGGTCTTTGCAAACTCAAAAGCTGCCACACTGATGAATGTGAGAGGAGCTCTGCATCAACTCAGCCCCAGACTATACTGAGGACTCCCCTACATCAGGAGGTATTTGCAAAGGTATTTGCAGCAATGCCTAGTTGCATGCTGTGTGTGAGACCCACCTCACGACAGACCACTCACAAAGCTCAGGGACTGAAGCATTGCCTGAGCCTTGTCCAAGCCCAGAATGGATTATCAGGGCTATGAGTGAAGCTTTGAGATGTAAAGCACCATGAAAAAATTTTCTGGTGATTTTCTGGTTCATTGCAGATTACTTTTTGATTGTTGAGAAAGACATATAGTGCAGGTAGCTCACTGTACAGCTGCAGTGTGAGATGCAGACTGAGCTCTGGATGGCAAAGCCTGACAGAACTGGTGCCACTCTTTACATAACAAAGGGCACGGGGACCTGTGACACAGGCATGTGGACAGACATTCAGAAATACAGCAGGGGCTGAGGACCTCAGACTGTGAGGCCACAAAATCCACAGGGTTTATTTTGTTTGGGGTTCCTCCTCAGGCATCCAGCTCAAGCTGTTGCTTTGTTGTTGCACCAAGATTAATTTATTTTAAGGATCCAGATGTTTGAGACTCCGCTATGGGAAAACTGGGGCTGAGCAGGTAAGAAGACTTTGAATGTGTGTGAGGTGTACAGGGTAGTCAAGGGGGACACCTCAAAGAGGCTCTGATGGGGCCTCCCGTCCCAGCTCAAGTGCAGCAAGTGTGACTACTAGAGTGGGTCCTGGTTGGTCAGAGAGCAGGGTTTCCTTAACAGGGCTTGCTGTTGTTCCTGCTGTAATGTTGGTTATTATTTACTTACCCTTTCTCCTTTCCCTTGTATTCATAAACACATGTGTACTGCTGGCCAGAGAAGTATTTGCAGTGTCCATGGTGAGTTAGGTTATTCTGGTCCATTCAGGAACACCAGCTGTCAATACACACAGGCCACATCTCTTTTGGAGAGTATGAATAGAAAGGGCCTTTCAACCTCATTACACAATGAAAATGAATCAGTGAGAGAGACCTACTCGTGCACAAATGAGCTGTCAACTTTATGCTGGAATTTCACTGTGTTTATAATGCCATCTCTGCCTCCTGTTCAGTGTCAGTTGCTTTTGCACTCTTGCGCCTGCTACAGCGTGATTCAGTGCCTGTCGAGCAGTGCTGACCACGCTCACCTCCCTTTGCACTGGGTGGGAGCACAGGCCAGCCCCTGCCCTGCAGGATCCCAGCTCAGGCTCCCCCAAGCAACAGGACCCTGCTGTGCCCAGGTAAAGCAGACATCTGGATTTCCATGTATAAGTTTTTTGGGTTTTTTTTTTTCCATACCACAAGATACCATTTACATTACCATTTACTTACATACCACCAAGATTTCTATACTTTGGTGATTCAATTTCCACTGCAAAGCTTTGCAAATACTTCAGACTTAAAGAAAGGAATGATACAGAAAGTGGAGCTGCTGTTCAATGCTCCTCTGAATTAACAATTTCATGTCACTGGAAGACTGAAAGATGACAAATCTTCCACTGCTCTCATCTCTTAAACAGCTTGCTCACCTGACTTTTGAAATGCAAGGCTTTAAATATGCTGCTTAGTTCAGCTTACCCAGAGGACAGTTGTCTTGCTTGTTTTAGCACACGGTGCCAGCACCACTAAAGGAGATGGCTGTAGGGGCTCAGCTGCGCTTATCTTTTGGATCAGGACCTTTGCTGGGCACAATTATGAGATTCCACTGATGTCCCAAAGGAAATGCCCAGGCCAAGTCATAAAAACACATCCTGAAAATCCCTTTGCCCTAAAATTATTTTACTCAGGGCTCCACCTCCTTTCTTTCTCATCACGGTGAAGAAATAGAACGACAGCACCCCGTTCTTCTCTCGAAAGGTTTCCTGGTAAGGGACGCTCACTCACCGCTTGGTCGAGTGGGATGGGAATCCCTCCGCGACTGGCGGGGCTCGAGGGGCAGTGGCAGTCTCCGGCAATGGCACGTCCTCCTCGGGGACAGGATCGGATTTTCCACTAAACGATTGGTTTTGGCAACAATCTCGGGAGTGGAGCGTCCGCAAGGGAGGGGGGGTTGGAGGGAGAAAGCGGGGGCGGTGGGACAGGCCGGGAAGGAAGAGAACGGCAGAGACTGGACAGCTCTCGGTCAGCGCCGCCAGTGAGCACGGCGGGATCGGCTCAAGCGCCA